CGGCATATTGAGTAGAAGCAGCGGCGACTTATAAGAATGATAAAAAAATGACATAGTTTGACCCTACTATTCAAATACTATTCAAAATATTGTTCAGATTGAGTATAATTTGACCCTACAATCAACCGAGTATAATTTGGCACTATAGAATTTAACAGTGTGGAGGAAGCGCGCGCGGTGCCGCGAGATCTCCATCGCGCCGTCCAAAAGTAAAATCGCGTGCAAAACAAATCGCATAGAAATCGGAGCAGTCGAGGAGTCGTGTGCGAACGTGCGAAAATGGACCACTCGCTTCTACATGACAGAGGCTGGTCGGCGGCGCGGCCGCGGCGGTGCAGCGTAGCGCGACGTAGTCGGGCATCGGCATGCAACACCTCTACTCTACCTACCTAACCGCGTAGCAACCTACGAACCGAGGAACACTCGGGACCATCTCTTTCACCTCTCAAAACGGCGCGCCGTAAGGGGAATCGGGAAGAGAGCGAGCGAGCGGGCCGAGCGCGACGGGGGGCCGGGGGCGAGGAGGTTTCTCCCCGGCAGGTGGGGACGGGCCGGCAAATGCTCCAGTTTACATTTTTATCCCGCGCCCCTGCGGCTTAGTTCTTCGAGAACACTTCGGATCGCGCAATCGTCTCTCCTCTCTCGCGGCGGGATGCGAGAGTATGCAACCGCGTGGAAAGCCGAGGGGGGGAAGAGATCGGTATCGATTGTCGGGACGGGGCACTTTCCCGCGAGCGACAACAACGCGACGCGCGACGCCGTCGTAGATCGTTGTCGCGTGCAACTCGTATTAAAATTCGCCTCGAATCTTTAATGGCAGATTAAAATTAAAATGGCATGTGTTGCACGGAAAGAACGGTTTGCTGAAGTATCTGAAAATTTAGCTAGATACAGATCTGAAAATAATTTTGTTGCATCATCAAAATAATTATTTAGAACACTCAAACTGATTGCTAAAACTGATGTCAAAATTTTTTACAGCATTTTCATTATTACTTCAGCGACCTACTATAATTATTTTGATGGTGCCATGCAACAAAATTATTTTCAGATCTGTATCTATAGTTAAATTCTTAGATACTTCAGCAAAACCGTTCTTTCCGTGTGTAAAATTCCGTTTTCGGATAATCATTTGCTCCTACGTCGCGTTGTCCTGTTCATCGTGTCACGGCGAAAACGGCGTTAAAAATCCGCGGGATATCTCGGGCTCGGGAGGATTGCCGACTTCTTTCGCGGCCACTGCGAATTCTCTCGATCTTTGTAACGTAATTCGACGCGACTATAACGCGTTACAATGCAATGTACGAATCACGCTCGAACCGACGATTTGAGGATCGCAATATCCGGCTGGAAATCATTAATGCCGGTTTAACACGCATCGAAAAGGAGAGCCCCGTCCGTCCGTCAGTCCGCGCTCTCGGTTCGTAATAGCTCTCTCTCTCTCTCTCTCTCTCGGAACGGTAACGCGCCGCGTATTATTGTGCGATCAGCGCGGAAATATCTCGCACCCGAGATACGTTCTCTACGCGCTACTCGTCTAACGGAGGCGCCGATCCGTTTTACAGAGAGAAATGGACAGGGACCATAGAGAGCAACGCGATCACGATAATCTGAGCGAGAAGGAGCTGGACTTGGGCAAAATTGGAATGGCTTTTCGCAGTCTCACCCATCATCGCGATCGTACGCCGGATGCCGATGCAGAGGTTCATTGCTTCTCATAAAATTCCCCCCTTTCCCTGCCTTCAAGGAAATAACAATCGGCGTTTATCGAGGAATCAGTAATTATCAGGGAAATATCGTTTATTAATTATCTTGACGATAATTACCAGCTCCACGTCGAAAAGCACTTATCGAGAAGTTTAATAATCACCCTGGATTAAGAAATTAATTAAGAAAGTATTAATGATTTCCAAATTATTCCCATGATCATTTCTATTACTAATTTGTTAATAAATGCCAGCTGTTACTTCCTTTATTACTATTTCTGTTAGATGGTCGATTAAATTCATTAAACAGTGAAAACGATTTCTTTATCAGATAAAACGTCAGCTTTGAAATTATTGTCCTGTTGCAGAGAGATATGGATATCGATCCGGCTGATCACGCTGAGAACTTGCACGACGACAAGCTCGAGAAATTAGGAAGAAATTTTCACAATATAGGGCATCACCCAGCTATGGTAGATATATTGGTCCACAGAGTAGACAACTTTTTGTAATATTGATTTATTTAATTAAGTATTGAATTTGTCTTTGCAGAGAGATGTAGATAGGGATCAAAATAATCACGTTGACAACATGCACGACGACAAGATGGACCACAAGATGGGAAGAGATTTTCGCAGTCTCGGTCATCATCCTGGAATGGTTCACTTGCACTCTGGCATGGAGCATTTAAGTAATGTCGACGTTGAGGTAAATGTTACGTCATTGCACATTGCATTGATCTCTTTTAAATGTTTATCCTCGTTAACCCGAGTGACATTTTGACATTTTTTTTTTAGGTGAAGTTAGCGAGGGACGTTCGCGGCTCATTAGGCTTAGGGCTGTCCTTAGAACTCTGTGTAGTTTGTGGGGATAGAGCCAGTGGTAGGCACTACGGGGCGATCAGCTGCGAGGGTTGCAAGGGCTTTTTTAAGCGCAGCATCCGCAAGCAGCTGGGCTACCAGTGTCGAGGAAGCAAAAGTTGCGAAGTTACCAAACACCACAGAAATCGTTGTCAGTATTGTAGACTTCAGAAGTGCTTGGCGATGGGCATGAGAAGTGACTGTAAGTGAAGTTCTTCTTTTGTATTAAATATCCTTTAATTTGGACGCAGTGGCACGCATTTAAAAACTTTTTTTAACTCGTTAGCTCTTTAATTAATTTCTTACAAACCGAATCTTATATATATCACGGGAAAAAAGGTTTTGCTGCAACAGCAAATCTATTTGTTAAATATATAGGACAACTAACATTTTTTGCTGCGAGCTGCGAGAGCTACAGAATAGCCAACAGTTTTGCTGAACTTTGCTATTGCAGCAAAAGGGGTTTTGCTATTATTGCAAAATTAATTAGCTCTCGCAGCAAAAAATGTTAGTTGTCCGTATAGTAGCAAATCCTTTTTTTTCCGTGTAGGCTCGGGATTGAACCTACTTGCTATGAATCGATCGTTCCTATGCAGTGCCTTTATCTCTTGTTACTAAGCTTGTTTTTGGAAATATATTGTAGAAGATAATAAACATGAGTAAGCTTACGTCATTGCAGCTGTACAACATGAAAGAAAACCGGTATTGGGTGAGTCGGCTGCGACAAAAGTTGGCAGTCGTAGTCCCAGGGTAAAGCCTGAACCACAGCAATCCGCGCCCGAGGTACCGCCGACTTGGGAGCAACCCGAGAGTCCCAGCATGGAAGACCAAAGCAGCGATAGCGACGCTCTCAGCGATGCTTTGACCTTAGCTCGCGAGCGTTTATTACTTTCTCATGCGTTAGCAGATAGCATGGCTAAAATCATCGGTGACGTAAGTCGCGATTATTATCTCACATCATTGTATTATCTCTACGTGCACAGGCCTTTAATCTATCACGATGTTCGCTTGCAGAATGTTAATGGTTCGAGCGAACCGGAGGAAGAATGGACCGGCCAATTAATCTCTGAGCGAAATACGTTGTTCGAATTGAGGGCGCCTGGCCCAGCACCCGTGTATTTATCTATTCACTACATATGTGAAAGTGCAGCCAGATTACTATTTTTGTCTGTGCATTGGGCGCGAGGTATTCCGGCATTTCAAGCTTTGCCGTAAGTAGGATGTATTCTATGCAAATTGTACATTTACCTTTGATCCATAGTAAAGTCGTAATGTCATCTAAGATAAACATTTTACATTTCAGATCTGAAATTCAAACTACTTTAGTTCGAAGTTCCTGGGGACAGTTGTTTACATTAGGTCTAGCACAATGTGCACACACTCTGTCACTTCCTGGTATTTTGACGTCGATAATCAATCACTTGCAAGCTAGTATTGCGCAAGAGAAAGTCACTGCAAACAAAGTAAAATGCGTTACGGAACACATATGTAGACTGCAGGATTGTGTGAGTTCACTGCACAAGCTGCAAGTGAACTCCGTCGAGTACGCATATCTTAAAGCTTTAACACTTTTTAGCGCTGGTAAGTGAATGTAAACGTCAAACAGTGAAGTTTAACTATTTACTGCGAACAAATAAAAATACCGGAGTGAGACACACTTATTATCTTTTCCAGATAATGTTCTAGCAGGCATTTGGCGTAAGAAGGTTGAGGTTTTGCAGGAAGCTGCGTGGACGGAGCTACAACAACATGTGGGTTCCGATAGATTACCTCGTCTTCTACTGAGGCTGGCGCCTCTCCGCTCGATTAATCCTAGAGTTCTGGAGGATCTCTTCTTCTCGGGTCTCATTGGTCGAGTAAGCGTGGCTAGCGTCGTGCCTTATATCCTTACCATGCAAGATTATAAAACTGAACCGGAGAGTCACGCGGGGTGACGAATACTGTCAGTGCAATGTAAATCGTGACCTAAGAAAGTGATATACACATAAATGTTGAATGTCTCAAACGTTTTTACACAACGAAAATGCTTACCCAAATGTGAGTGGTCGAGATAATTTTTATTTTCGCATTTCCCCTTTTTTTTTCGAATATTTGCACAAAAGTATAATATCACAATGCGTGCATAAATTTGAATTGATTATAAATGTATGTATTGCTATGTAACGATAACTGTACATATATATCTATTATCTAGATATATGTACATATTTTTGTTTAGATCATAGATATGTATAATATAGCACAGCATTTGATTGTTTATAATACTGACTGTGTCCAACAATTCTTTATTTATTATATAGTAAATGGACGTTATACAAAACTTTCCCAAAATATGGCAACTTGACCCTTTGTTGAGTTATAATTTCAAGTAAAAGTTTAAATAACGCTGCTCGTTGAACTAAATAACCTGTGAAGTGATAATCAGGGAATATTGACATTATAATATTTATATTTATTTATATATACATATGTAATATTATAATGTTAATTTATATATTTAATATTATAATATTATAATTATGATTATATATACATATATATGTAATGTGTATATACACATATGCAGTTAAAACTAAAAATACAATTGCATGTTGTTGCATTTTTAAGTATCCATGTGACAAAATGCAATATCTCGAAATGGGCTTCTCAAATCTGTGATATACAGGTTTCACAGGAAAGTTTTGTATTGGCACATTACTTACGCAAAATGTAGAATGCAATATGATATGTTTATAATGTATTATTATTAATAATTAGACTGTTATAAAAATACTTAGTCTATTCTACATGTATACAGGAAAGATAGGATTTTTTGTTTTAAACGATAAACATTTGAATACGTGATACGAGTTAAAATTAGAAGAAATTTATTGTTACTTGTTTACAGAAATGTTGGTATTATAAGAGATAACGCGTGATTCAAATTTCCTATAACATAAAAAGAGAAGTTACGATATTTTTGCTTCCAATATACAAATCAAAGTTTTTGTGCACAAATTACCTGTTACTTGTTCGGAGTGGACAATAAAATCATATTTTTTGTAAGATAAAAGCGTGGATACTTAACATAGTTTAGGCGTATACAGCAATTGTACATGAGTTACTTAATTGAAAATGTAAATTTAGTATTGTTGATATATTGTAATTATATATTATCGTATTGTAATTATATATCGTAATAATTATAATAAGGTAACTCTATACGCAGTACTTCATATATATTTTTAATGGTTCTGGAGACGTAAAATAACATTATCTTTAAGTTATATTATACTTAATATTCCTTCATCATTTAACAAACCATCGAAATATTGCAGTCTTATATTATTTCATAAAGTCTTGAAAAAACTTATTTTTAAGAAATTGAAAAAAATATTCGTAAACTTTTTTTTTATTTAAAAATGTTCTTAAATACTTTTTAAGAAATTTTTAAGGACAACACATTAATTTTTTATAATCAACCCAATTTTTTTGTTTATTGTGTTTTTTGAGTTAATTGTGAATTGTAATGATTTTCCAACCGTACAATGAATTTCTCAGTTAAAGACTAAGAATTAGACAATATTAAAATATAACATCAGAGATTATAAAATTATCTAAACAAGGTACTACTTTGCAATATTGATAACGACATTGTGATTATTAAAACATTGTTTAATAGTCAGATACGATATAATTTTTGATACATTTGTTGACGAGGTGACCAATGTGTTTATCGAATAACATAAATTCTGAAATTTGATTTTAAGATTAATTAAATGACAATTAGCTTGACAGTTTAAACGATTTCTTGGATCACCTTCGAGATTTAAGTGCTTTTTGCGTTACACTTTGCTGTTAACGCCTGTGCATTAATCGAATATAAGTTACGGAATCGCCGCAATAGCATTTAAATTTCGGAATGCGTCCTTAACGAGACAATACAAGTTGAGATATAATATTTCGCGGATGCGCTACAAAAAGGAGATTGTATATACGTGTAAGAATGTGCCTACATAAGAAGATATTTATATGGACGTTAAGAATTTTGTAATTATTGTTATATAAGTAACGAAGTATAGTGTTAAAAGATCAGAGATACCTGAAAACTCGTTGCAACGCAATTTCGCTACATGGAGAACGATGTGTACATACCCAACAAACACACATGTATTTAAACGCGTCGGCGAAATAACATATATTTACGATACGAAATAAACATTACTAAAGGACAGATAGACATGTGTAAATGCAACTTTCGCATGTATTCCTCGAACCCAACTTTGTTAACAAATTTATTGTAATATATTTCATTTGTTGAACAAAGATCCCTCCGTGGGTTACTACAAAAAGAAGAAGTTAATCATTTCAGATCGTCTCAGAAACATTCAAGTTATATTTCTCACTTTTTTCTGATTCCTTTTTTTCTGTAAAATATCGTAGAAATTAATTATTGTCGCATTTTTATGCTTTCATTCACATTAAAGTAAGAGCAAGATCTTTAGTGTCGTTTTTGCACAGTAATTTGGTAAATTTTTTTTGTCATTAAGGGTCAATAGCCCTGCGACAGTTGCGTCTCGGCGAAAGGATTAAACTTTCTAGAGAAAGCGCGCTTCCGCGAACGGCGCTTGCGTGACGCTCGCATGACGTCAGTCAGTGTCGGATTCAAGCTCGTTGCGGCCTCGATGAACAATAAGATGAAATTAAATTTAGCGATAGAGACGAAAAACGAGGATTATACATTCTCTCTATTACAAAATTGCGAAGTTAAAACAAAATCGATTTCAGATCGATCGCTTATTTTTTGATTCCTTTGAAGAATCAAGGTGAGGTCCATCAAGACCATCAAAGAGCGGTATTTCTACGGTTTGATTTAATATCGTCTTAAATACGATTTTGGGAAGCTGTAAACTCATTTTATTAGCTGACTGGAGTCTTAATATTATTCAAGATTCAACTTAAACGATCTATGAATATTTTAAGATGACTTTGACTTAAGTTTCGAATAATTTAATCGGTAATTAATTCAATCGGCAGAATCGTTTAACGCAAAATTTTCAAGATTCACTATTTATTGTAAAAATTTAATTTTTTTCCTTCCTGTATATCAAACAACAAATAATAATTTTATTTATGTTAACAAAATGATAAAAGTATTACCAAAAATTTAACGAGTCCACTCGTATGAGGAAAATAATTCAAATGTTATTTGAATAGTTGAATAGCTTATATCTATTTCTACCGATTAACTTTCTTCTCGGTTTAACTTACTTTTTATCTTTTTCTAATTCTTAGAATTCAGTTCTAACAAAGTTGAACTTCTTGTTACGGCCAATTTCACAGTCTCCGATTAAGCTCACTCTTCGTCTCTTTCTGTAAGGGGACAGTTAGAAAGTGATGCAGAGTGAGTTTAATCAGAGGATCACATTAATCGGAGAATGTGAAATCGGCTCTTAGTTCCAAGAATTAGAAAACGAAAAAAATTAAGTTGAACCGAGATTAAAGCCACCTCACATTCGCAGAAATGGACATTAATCAGCGATTAAGTTTTTGGAAGTCGCCCTTAATTCACGAGCCTGAGGTCGCGGCCCTGCGCGGCGCGTGAGTCACGGCGCAAGACCGCCGCGTCCGCCGCGAGAGGCGCCGCGCGCCGCCGCCCGCCGCCAGTGTACGCGAGGCGTTTTTTCCGCGCGTATCTCCGCTCCTCCGCGTCTTCGTCCCGTTCCGCGGTACATCGAGTCGAGTCAGTCGAGTGTGCACTGTGCCGGTCCCGGCGGTGGTCACGCAACGCGACGGAACCGGGCACGATCGCAGTCGCACGTTCAGGTCCAGCTCGGCCGGTTGCTCAACGTCGCGCAACCCGACGCGACGGCCGACGGCGTTTCTTCGCGCGAGCTCTCGCGATCGTACCGGCAACGACGAGTGGCTGGCTGGCGTCTACTTAAAAGACGGCCCGGCTTTCCCGGAAACCGCGCGCCTCCGTCGAGAGACGCTCGTTCCTCGCTCCCGTTCTCGTCGCGTTTGTTTCCGCGAGGCGAAGGCTCCCAATTGCCACTGGGTTTTCGGGAGGCCGTTTCTCGCGCGCGGATCTCCCGTTCGACGATCGCGCGCGTTTCGGGTTCGGGTAGTCGGTTCGATCGACGCTCTGCGCGCGAGCAAGCGATGCCGGCGAGGGCAGCTCGGCCCGCGCGCGACTGATAAACCGTAACGGGATTGTTAAGCCGCGACGGAGAGGTGCACCACGTCGTCGGGTACGTAACCACTCGTTCCTTGACTCCATGTTGTTTTGACAGCTCGGACCGATCGGGCCTATTACGAGAATCTCCGCGCTCGAGCACCTCTCTCGAATGTATACAAAGTGTATATTCGTGTTGTTCAGACCGTTCTCAGACTGTGATCCGTCATTTATTTTTATCTGTATATTTAAATGAGAGAGAGTGAACGACTTCGAGCGCGCGATTCGGTGTTTCTTAAATGAATCATCTGTTTTCAAAACTTACTATCCTGACTAATTTTATCCTTCCGTAAGACGAAGATAGTAAAAAGAAATTTTCTCTGATCAATTTTCACTTTCTTTGTTCACTTTTTATTTGAGTGACTGAATTCTTATTAAAAAAATCAAAAATATTACTTTAATAAATATTTTTAACAAGAATATTTATAAATATTATAATAGCAATTTTTTTTATATTATTATATATAAATATTTATAAATATTCTTAGTAAAGACACATTAAAAGTTAATTCGTTTCACATTCGAGAAGAAAAAGTATGCTTATTACATCATTTTTCCTCTGCACGATTAAATTTGTATCAAGTATTTATTCTCACAAAAAATGTGCTCGTCACATTTTCATTTAACGCACTTAGAGGTCTTGAAAACGCATGATTACATATTTCTCGCGAAATATTGTATTAAAACAAAAAGAAAAAGAAATTCAAACTTAAATGCTTGCAACAGAGAGACGTGTGTTAGGGGTGACGATTTTGTGCGATAAAATATTGTTCAGACGTTTTTTATAAAAGTAGTGGTTGTAACGTAGGATTCGGTTTGGCCAAGCACCTGGATCGAAACACCGGAACAAGGGGGAACTCTGAATTGGAGCTAACACGCTGTCCCCACGGCTTTTGCATGCGCTCAAGCTTTTTACGTCACGTTCATAATTCAACGCTTCTGCGATCACCACCGACCAGCATGGCATGGCACGCCGGTTAACGGGGCACGCTTCGGCTTCATTTCTCTCCCGCATCGAAACGTCAAAACGTGACTGTCATCGTCGCCGACGATTCGTCGCCCGTCGTATCTGTATCGTGACGCCGCACGATTACGTGTTGGGCAAACAAAATTCCAAGGCGACGCCGTATTCCGCCGACAATCGCGTGACGAGAGACAGAGCGTGTATGTGTGTATGTAGTACGTGTATGTATCCTTTGTCCGCGCACTGCGTTTCGAGCCCTTTGATCGATAAGCCTCGTCCTTGCTTTTTCGCCAACCTTGATCTCCTCGTCGTCTAAATAACGCGACGCGTCGAATTTATCTCCCCGTGCGTCGTTCTGTTTTCATTCAAGCTTTACCCTCCCAAGAAAGGGACGCGCGCGAGGAAAACTCGCTCGCGACGTGGTTTTCCGTGATGTAAAATGCATTCGAATGCCCTTGGACGACTGAAATATTAATCGAGAGACTGAATTTATCGATTCGAGGGTCTGGAAACGTCATGCTAATTAAGTGGCTTAATTGATGTGGCGCGATTATGTGCAAATGCGTCTTTCATTTCAAGCTGTCACTCGGTTCGCGCTTCGCTATATCTTCTCTTCTCATTGCCTACGAATGTACGAATGCGCTCATTGGCACGACACAACGGCACGGATTCACTACGGGGAGAAATGTATGAATGAAGAAACGTGCGCGCCCGCGCGCGCGCACGATGAAGTCGTCACTTTCGGAGCCCTGTCACCAGTGTCACCTTTGGAGCGTTAATACGCGAGTTCAAAGAGGAGTTCTCGGAAATTTTTCGATGAAGCGAAACGACTTTGACGCGAGGCGAAGCTCCTGACGCGGAAAACTCAGCCCTCCGCATTTTTACTTTCATTTTTTAAAAGTATTAATCGTTTCTTTTAAATATTACTTTTAGTTCCAAAACTGTAATTGTTTTTATTTCGGCCAACATGCGCGAAACGGGACACATTCGTTCAAACGGATAAAAAATTCTCGAGGCTTTTCCAAATCGCGAGCATTGAGAGATGTATGGAACCTTTTGAATAAATCCCGGATGCACGTATGCCGGAAGTAGCACGGCGGTATTGTCCGACTTACGATCATTGGTGTGGAATATTCGTTTAGCTTCCGGGAAACGTTCGCGCGCTCGCTTCGTCAAGCCCCCCCCGTTCCACGACGCTTTTGTGCCCGAAACAAGCGATCTAATTTTATCATTTGGTCTCTTTTATCTTCAGTTTTCCAGCTGGCAGGCCCGGTTATTCCTTGTGGCTTGATTTAAAAACGAAAACCGAACCGCAAAAGCAAGGGCAAAACCGAGACACAGACAGACCCGGGCGGACTAAAACTTATCTCTTTCCTCCTCGCTGTGTGCCACGCGCCGTGTGGGAAAAATCTCGGTGGGCGGACCTCTCTTCCGTATAACGACGCCGCACGCGCCGTGTGGTAAACCACTTCAAAAAACTCTCTCGTCGTTGCACCTGGGAGGTCGTCCCCCTGGGAGAGAGCCCCCTCTACCTCAGCTTTTATCGACGCGGGGCGGGCGGTGATGCTTTTGTCTCCCCGACGGGATCGGGACGGAATCTTAGCCGTGCGAAAATCGAGAGCCGCATCGATGCCGAAGTCGGCAACTAAGTGGAGATTCTGGAGGTCTCTTTTATCTTTATTTCCTACATGCGAGAAAATGAGAGTGAGAGAGAGAGAGAGAGAGAGTGTACGTGTGTGTGAAACCTGAAGGATTTACACATACATTTACATCACACGTCCTCCCGTAGTACGAGGATCGGAAAGAGGGCCGATTGCACCAACGAGTTGTACGATTGATTTCATTGAATAATGAGCGGTTGATTAGATTTTTCCATTTCGATTTAAAGGGACATCCAGAACTTGAGCTTGAACTTCCTGCGCTTCGAGCTTTTTAGAATCTGAATTAACGGGATTGTTCTGTTTATGAGAGATTCAATCTAGAAAAAACAAATCCAGCTAATCAACGTTCAATTAATCAAGAGCGCTGGTGCAATCCTCCTCCCGTGAACGGTTTCATCGACGCATCGATACGTCGATGATGCCGTTGCATCTCGCGATAACTGTGCGACTCTTTTCGGACGCGAACAACGAGAGCGGGACGCGGTTGATTAATCTAACGCTGCGCTGATGGGGAATCTGCCGCTCCACTAACTTCCCGCTCGAGATAATCGGAATCTGAGAATTCTGCCGATGCGGAGTATACGTGGCTATAAATCGTACATATCGGTCATATCTGTGATATCTGCAATTCTAATTTAATAAATCGCTCTATAATTTTATTCATCGAAGGCTGGTCGAGATGGCTGTCTCTGACGAATTATCTCTGTAAGCGCTGTACGTAATCCTTGAATGTCAAGCGGCACAATGGCAGTTTAATTAACCCTCCCCGGGACGGTGTTTACCCGGGAAAATATTTCAATACCCGTCCGTTTACGTTGGCCTGAATTGTCGTTCTGATAGAGTTAAATAATAATCGATCGCTGGCGTTTTGTATTTTACTATTCGTCTCGCGCAACACTTTGCGCGTCACACGACCTTTTCGGCGATAAGCGGCGGTTACTAACGTCATATTAATTTAATATAATATTGACAGTGTTCATCGGCGATTAACGGCAAGTGCCTCTTAATTTTGTGTGACTTCGTAATCAGTAATCACTTCCAAGGCTCCTCTATAATTTCTTGGGCCGATAATCTGTTTTCCGTAAGCAAGTACCTTTATGTTGGCCAGTTGTTTGCTGTGTTTATGCACAGAGAGAATTTTCTCTTAGAATTTACCCTGAAAATCGTGATAGTTGTGGGATATGTATTACGAAGAATTTTATGCGAGCTATTCTGATTAACATCTACTATAATAAAAAATATTTCTATTACAAATTACAACAAAATATAAAATATCTTTGGTTAATTTCACTAAAACATATAGTAAAATTTTAGTAATTTCTTAAAAATTACCAATTATCTGCTTGGTAATTTTTATTACGTTGTTTGTAAAATGTCTTTTGTATATTTCAAAAATTTCTATCGTTACCGGTAATATTTAATTGGTTGCCAAGTTCTCCAAATTTGTAGTAAATTTAACTGTAAAATATAACAAAAAAATTCTCTCCGTGTATCGATGTGCTGTTTAGATACCGCTAATGATTCTTTTATTCTTAACTGTCGAATTATTATTTCTTTATTTTACGCGCGTCGAGCTAGTGTCGCCTTTTATATACGAATGAATGAAGTAGCAGCGGTTGCGAGATCTCTATATCTTATGCTAATGCAATTCTTACACATACAAATACGCGCACGCAATTTTTCTTCCGATTGCAGGTTGGAAAAGTCGCGATGCACTGCATTGCGGTATGCCAGGCTGCACCGCGAACGAGAGAAGCGCGCGCCGTATAAGCAAGATCGTGTGGGTAGAGCGTGTGTGTGTGTGTGTTTGTATATGTGGCCGCGCGTATATACGCGAAATAACATGAATCTTGCACATTCTTCGAGGACGGTTACGCAAACGGTCTTCATTGAAACAGCACCTGGCTGACATAGTAAACGAATATTTTAGCGAATATTATTTACAATTAATTTTCGCAGATCCTTCCGACGTTGCGCGCGGCTCTCCCGTCTCTAAAATTTCCGATCTCAAATGTCATCCTCTAGCTTTATCTCGCTGACGCGAGCGGATTTCCCTCGATGAAGGAAACATGGATTGAGTAAGAAGCCGTTGTAACACATTTGTAACGCATCGCAATGTAATGCAATGAGTATACACATGATTTCAACGGTTCTCGTTTCCTCGTGTCTTCACGTTTTACACACTCCACACGCTCGATACCGGCGACGCGTTATCGGCCTGAGGACTGCGTTATCACGGCGTAATCTGTGGAACATCGTATTTTTCCGCGCGCCTTACGCGAGCGACCTTCGTGGGTTCGTGTGTGCCCGTCCGCGCGCCCGTTCCTCGCAGATTGAGTCAGGAAATGACGGATATATCCTCGCGTTTGCAGAAAGTCCAAGAGGGCTGTTCTCGAGGAGAACGATCAGAAGGAGAGCAAGCGCAAGCGCTCAGCACCGCCGCCGGTGGTTGTAACGCAGGTGATCAGGCAGGACTACGATCATCAGCTACTGGAACCGAAGATACCGGAAAAGAAGGTACCGGAAACCGAAGACGCCATCAGGAGAAAGACAATGGAGCATCTGCTCAACAGCCGGTTGTCGCCGAAAGTCACGCCGATCACGAACGACTACGAGATCAGCAATCACGTCCTGGGCCTCGGGATCAACGGGAAGGTCGTGCAGTGCTACGACAGGAACACGAGGCAGAAATATGCTCTTAAGGTGAGTCCTTACGAGTCCGCAGCTTGGCGATTTGATTCTTCGAAGCGTATGTGGTACACTAAGGAACATAAGATTCTAAAATTAAGAGAAAGTTATCGGTTTAAAGTCCACCAGGTTGGTTTAGATAAGGCTATTCGGAGTGACTCCGCTTGGGCTTTGGGAACAAGTTAAAAGTATACCTCGACGTAAAGATAACAAACACTCAAACGCGCACAGGGGGGATCGAGGTTTCTTCTTATCGGAAGACGAGGCGCGAGTCATTACGCATCGGTTTTTCTCACCGCGATGCGATGCGATGCGTCTCACGCGCGTCCTCGGTTATTTTTAAGGCGCGAGAGCGACGTACCGTCCGTCGTCGACGAGCCCGAAGGTGTTAATCCGTCGCGTTGACACTTTGAAGGAAAGCCGCGTATCGATACCCGCTCGAATCGCATCGGTCGAGCGCGTTTAGACCGCGAGTCATCCTCTATTTATACCCCGGTGATTTCCTCCTTCGACGATGTCGGGGCCCCTTAAGCGTATCTCTCTCCCCTCGCAAGGAGCCTGTGCCGCCTGTTTCGTTACGCGACCGACCCGCAAAAAAATTCAGTTCAACTGGGTACGGTTTTCCCCGAGAAAGTTCAAGTAACACACGCGGCACGTTTTCGCCTATCAAATTCGCAATTCTGATTCCGGTCACGAGACAAGACTTTAGAGATGCGCTATCGGTCTCCAATAAAATTATTCAATATTGCTAGATCGTATCTGCGTAAAAAGCTTCAACTGTGATTTATGCCCCGTGTGATGTATTAGGTATTCCGTTTGAAAGTCGCACGCGGAGTAGATAAGATTACTTACTCTCGTTGATTTTACGATAGGGATTATTCCGGCCACACGGTTAACAGACGCGACGAAATCTGATAAATAACTGTAATTACCTGATCAAATTGGCTTGTTTGGGGAACGCGTGCATATTAACATACTGCCACCCATCGATATCTTGTTATACCAGTTATTATCTGAATGGTTTCGTTCAATTTTCTGATAGCGCTCGGCATGATAAAGTGCACATTTCATATTGGGAGGTTGCGTATTTCGTAGCAACTCACATGACGTGCTAAAACACGTTAAGATCTCTAATTTCTAAGTATATCTAGAAATTAAGATTGCATTTTTCGCAGTTCGCATTCGCAGCCGAATGTTTCTCGACGAAAATTTTGTTTATTTCTGTGAACATTTACTTTCTTTGTGCAATTTTCCAAAGTGCTACCTTACTGTACTCCGTCCAACGAGAGATCATGGTTGATCAAACATAAATGACGATAGGGCTATTGTATTTTTAATAGATATTGTCTAACACTATTAAAAATAAAAATAATTTAACGCGAACACCTTGTTGCGGCTCTGTGCTCTATCGTTATTTATGTTTGATCAACCATGATCTCTCGTTGGACGGAGTATACCTTACTTTATTACAGTCGAGTCCGTCGTCGCGCTTCAGCGAGCACCGCGCGCTTTTGAATATCAACGTGGGACTGTTGCGTTTCCTTATAAAGGCGAGATCTGTGAGACCAGCCGCGAAAATAATTTGACGGCAATTTAACATGGAATGTTGATCGCGAATGCAGATATGTAGAACGTCGATGACCAATTACAAGCGTCACGTGACGCTTGCATGATCGCCGCGGTATAATATAATTAATAATTTTTAATAATAATAATATAATTTTCTCTCGTCTTTTTGGATTGATATAGAATATATAGATACATATTTATATGTTGCCCAACGAGTTTTTTATATCTTACCATGTATACCACAGTAGAATTCTTACTATCATAAGTATATATATATGTTAAAATATTGTATAATACGATTAAATTGGATTATATCCTTATGAATAGTGCATTGAGTCGCGCACTTTGTACTTTACGTTATTATCCAGCTATTTATATGATTCAAAATTTTGTAGTAAGTGGCATCTACTTTTTATACACGTTTTATTAAAAAAATTCCGTCGTTAATCAGACACTGAACCATTACGCATTCAACGTGTTAATCTTCAAATCGGTTCAATCGGCAATTTGTACGTGTATATCATAAATTAGACCTTATAGCCTATAAATTATTTTCATAGCACGTAACAAACATGCTCTTTCCTGCGTGAAACATTTCGAAAGTTTGCTTTTGTTTAGATTTGAGGCGCTTGGTTCTTTTTACACGAAGTTCGATTGAGAGATGCTATTTTTTCAGAAAGAGAGACAAAGTCTAAAGGTCGGTGGTATTATTTCGTCTCTCTACCTCGCGTCTGTCCGTAAAAGCCCTCTCTCGCCGTGGAAAGCTATCGTGTTCCGCGGCTTCTCGGATTCGTTATAAAAATAATCCGAATGTTTCTCTCTCGCGCAAGAATTTCGCGGTACGGAGGAATTACCGCGATAACCGTGATTTTTTCGCGACGGCGCGCGTATGCTGCAGTTTTTGGTAACGCTCGGCGTTGGCTGTAAATATTTCTCGCGTTCGTGGTAAGCGTCTTCCTCTTATTTTCACGATAGTCACGGTAATCCCTCAATTTTACGATATTTCTTCGAAACGAACGAACATTTATTTAAAACTTTACGCGTTTATTAAAAATATCGTTCGCTTTTTTTCGCATACGGCACGTGAAATAGAATTGCGAAAAATCACGCGCGTTTCAATCGCTCTCGATATTACCCACCGTCTTCTTTCTGTCTCTCTCTCTCTCTCTCTCTCTCTCTCTCTCTCTCTCTCTCTCTCTCTCTCTCTCTTTCTCTCTCTTACTCACACACACACTCCCTCTTTCTCATTCTCGATCGTTGCACGTGTCGTACGCGTGTCGTCAGCGTTCAGGCTCGCGATTATTGACTTCTCGTCGCGAGTTTTTCCAGCGACGCGTCGTAAAACTTCATGCATTCTTCCGAGAAAACGTTTTAATGCAATACGCGAGACTTGCGCGCGATCGACAAAGATCGCGGCGCTGAAAAAGAAAAGCAAGAATTGCACCTTCATCCCCTTTATATATTCGCGGCCTTATATATATGTATATATATTCCCTGATGATCTCATCCTTTCCGGCGCGAAAGTGGTCAATGGCATCGGCGAACGCCATCGGGGGGATTTCGATGGTCGTCTATCGTCGGAGGTCAAAGTGACGCGATCGTTAAAACCGGCGCGAAAGTCAAGTCGTAGTATCAATCCTCGTAAGTGTCAAAGCTAATAGATATTGATAACCCCGATTGTGAAATACAAGCGGATCCTTTGTTTTCTTCTTCTTATTTTTTAGTTCACACAATTTACACTAAAAATTAGGCAACGACAATACGAGGAATCCATGATGTACTAGGTACCCGATGTACCATTATTATCTGAATGATTTAACTTATTCCATTTTCTAATAATATTTATGTTAGTGTGATAAAGTGCTTTAAATCGTGAAATTATATATTTTTTAGTAATTTATATAACACTATATAATATTTTCAACTCTTTACATTCTGCAATAAATTTAGTTATTTAAATGAGATCCTTATATATATATATATATATATAAGTATCAAAGATTACATCAATTTATAAGGACCAAATCCTTGGTTAAAAGTGGGTCTTGACGACAATCGAACAAAATCATGGTCGTATTGTCTTAACTTATAATGGCCAATATAGAGTCGATTAATATTTCTACTTGTTATTTTGTTTTAACTTAACAATTCAATAATTAAATAAAAGCCCTTTATTTCTGTAAACATTGGACTTTATTATTTATTATGCGTCATATTTAAAGATTTAATAACATAAGAAATACAATGAGCTCTCAGAAATATTTATGTTAAACATAACTTGATAGTGCAATGGACTAATTAGTAAAATATATATCTAGGAATGCTTCATACATAGTCGAGTATTCCTCGACGAAAATTCCTCGTTGTTGAATAATAGCAGCATCGAATGTGTAACGACGGAAATTGGCAGAATAATTGTCGACAGATAAATATAAGGAACTTATCAATTACACGTGACCGAAAATGTGCTCATTTTACGTAACTTCGATAAAAGATTTAATTGATGTTTTTTTTTAACACAAGATAAAAAAAGACTTCAGAATCACAAGTGGTAGGAATTAATTTCTTAATTGTTTTTATTTTATTATTTTTTATTAAAGTTTAAATAATAGTTTCTATCAGTAGTTCACGACAAATTGGTTTGAAATCGTCTTTTGCGTTCTTGACTGATATTCTAGGAACGAAAGTGTTGTAATTGATGATTATTATTATTACGTAACATTATAACCGTTCTTGTAGTAACCGCTTATTGCGTTAATCGGAATCACTTAAAGCAGTTAGAGATTTACGGACTGTTTATGCAGAATTCAATTTCATTGATTTATTATTCAGATATTTTGCAGATAAAAGATTCTTTGTAACTTTAATGATATTCTAAAAATAATTATCTTACTCATTATACGAATTTTGATAAAAGTGTCGTGATAAATATGACAGATCGATTTTTTTGATACAGTTTGGAGAAACCCAGCCTGACACGCGGACTAACTGTTTGAAATCATAGAAGGCTGTTACATCATGTATTAATGACTAATAGTTTATCTAACAAGTGTGTCCAACTAACACAGACGTTTCTTCATTGAAAGAATTCGCGCTGAAGCATCTTCGAAGCGTTCAACGTTGATTGAAATCAACCTTATCACCGATTCTATTTATATTATTCCAGTTATCGCAACGATCGATGCCGCGGGATTACATAACACATTGCGGAGTAACGCCACTGTTTAACTTCGCCAAGAATGACGACAATGCGTCCTACAGGATGTTTCCGCGACCCTGATTACAATACTTCCATATTCAAGAGGCTGTAAAGCCGAAATTTGCGTCACGTCGTTTTATCGCGGCATCAATATGTATTAGAATAAACTTAATAAGTTTCTTCGCAAATTTTGCAGATTGCATGAATCATCTTAGAGCTGTGCTAGATACCAGTTATCAATAACGCTTCCATTGTTCATTTTATCCTTTTTGTTTTTTAAAGCGGAGCGAGATAAGAGACAGAAGCGAGAATCGCTCGAATGTTACTTACAATTAACTTTAACTGACGTTTCTGTGAACGGCTCTTATAATTATAGCACGCCGCGGAATTACGTTTCGAGTTACGTGTGTATCGCAATGACATGGCGCACGCATCGACACGTGCAGTGACGTTATGTACACGAGGCCTCCGATGGCCTCGCGGCTTTTAACGCTCGGCTATTAAAAATTCAATATTTGTCGACGTCACGTCGCGGCCGTGTGTCGCGTCGTTTCGTCGCGAGCCAGTTTCTCACCGCTATACGAATTCGCTTCCCGTTGATTGACTGCCGGCTGTCAGCCGGCCAGCGTTTTCCTCTTGTCGGTCGTCACGCGTCGTTTTATACCCGAACGGTGTCTCGTTGAACACCGTTTTGCGGAAATCCTCGCGTTTGAAGCGTCATACATTCCCCATCGAGGGAAATACATCAAACTTTATATTTGCAATTTCCCCAAACGTTCGCGGATAAAATTACATGATTGACGTATATCTTTCCTAGGGGATTACATTGAAAAATATCGCCTGTATATTATCCCGAAAATAAAATAAGATCTATTTTTTGACTCGTCTTCGTAAATTTCTTCGTCTTTTCCTTGGGAACTAACAGTATTATTGCGATCAAGAATCCTACTTTCCGCTTTTCCTTTTGCAATGTACTATTGCGCGAGGGATTATAACGAAGCTGTTGCGTTTTGGTAAAAGAATATTAAAAGTTATTTAAACGATAATTATGACTGCACATTTTTATCACTCTTCAGCTATTATTTCTTTAATTATACTTTAATTATACAATTTCTTTAATTTCTAACTATATGTTATTTGTTTTAATGTTAATCTTATATTAAAAATCTATATTGTGCAATTTTTATTACACACACACATTTGAGTGCATTACTACTGAAGCAATAAAAGCAATAACGACGAAGGGACGCGGAGGAGGATCAAAGCCGTTTTGATACTTTGTTTCCAGGCGATTGACTTTTCCGTGACGGATGGAAAACTTTTCCAATTCCGCTTAACTGACACGTTGCTGCGTAACAGTCCGGATGGAACCGGGAAGGCGGATCGATCGTGCGTTTCCACGAGCGTGACGTCGTCGCGCTGCATCGGATTACGTTGTTGGCTTTTATAGTCAAGCGTGTAAAAGTCTCCGGGCGAGCGCGCACGGAGGAGAGACGTAGAACGACAAGCGTATACAATTTGATCTGTCGCCAAGAACCATCAGAATGACAATCCCGCGCGCGTCTCCATCCGTCTATTTCGCGCGGCAGGTATGACTTGCACGCGCCGTGAGGTGCTAATCTTATTAGCACAGCTCTGTTACGACGTCCGGTATTGGCCTCCGGCACGCGGTCGCTCCGGCATTTTTCTCTCACTAACACGCCTACCTAGCCCTACAAGGACAAACGGGATCGGCGGAAAAGCTTGGAAAATAAATGTTCTCCGTAAAATGTGCGAAGGTTTTTATTAGGAGAGAGCTTTTCAACTTAATTCGTTCATTTTTGTACACTTACTGATGGTAGCTTCGTTATTTTCGTGGCTTCAATAAATCTTGATCTAATTTTACGACCTATTCATCATAATTTCACGTACATTTAAACGTTTTTCGCATATATGAAACGAATAACACCAACACAAAATAAATATACAGAAGAGAAAGACGTAGAAATATTACCGCTCTAATTATAAGTACCGAAGACTGCACGATCATTACGCAAACGCGAATTTGAAGCGATCTATATAGCATATAAATTTGTTTATTAATTACGACGGATTTTCTAATTTACATTGATATATTTTGACACATGTATTGAAGTAGCTTTCTAACTTCAATTTTGTTATAACTCTTGATATGATTAATTTTGTTATAATTTTTATATGTTCAATTTTGCAAAACCTCTCGGGTAGCCCGTTGTGTGGTATCATTAGCTTTTCTCCTCTGTCACAACTCGCGCAACATTTTTCCGTTCGCTCTTATATATCGCTGATTCCGACGACCTTTGTTCCGGAATAGGTATATACGAATCTAAAGAAACCGGTTCTCCGACTCCGCGTTTCACTACCTCACGTTTCGCGTGCTCCGAATACCTTCGGATCGGCCAGACTACAAAAGCGCGAGCGGATCATCCTCTTCCGTTTTACCATAAATTTCGTCTCGCGATGTCTTGCATCGCGGGACGTTTCAACTTAAAATAAGTCGACTCTTTCAAGAGCTTTGACGCAACGATTCTATACCGCGCTATAATCGTGTTTCACGTTTGAGCCGTTTCAAGAAGCATCAAAAGCTTTTTCGAGAAATCCGCTTACGATGACGTGGCATCATCTGATTTCAATCCCCCACGTTGCAGCCGGATGTTTCAACTTGAAATAGAAAACTATAATATTTCCGAGCTTTCCATACAACAATGTCTGTGTGTGTGTATGTCAGCGTATATGATAATGCGTTAAACACTGCTAAACACGCCTGTGAAGCGTGCTCTTTGCCCTCGTCGCTCATTTCCACGTATAATATACTGCATAAATTAAACGGTACGTGGTATGTTAAGCGTCTCGAATCGGCGAGATCGCGGATGATGATGAATCGCTTGTGCCGCTTGATACACAAGTTTCTTTCCGGTGCACTTTAAGCGAGCGATAGCACCGGCTATTAGTTTTTCACCGCGTCACAATAGACGTCTGCGGTAATCGTCTGCGATAACTTGTACGATTGTCCGGGAAGATCGCGCCTCAAAAGGGCAATTGCGCGAGCAGGTCCGTTCAAGAGGAAAGGACTACGCTGCGTGTGAGTACACCGCGTGGTCGATCGCTAATAAATTTTGAATAGCAAGGCATACGATATGATTGACCAATCTGTTATTGTGCCATCAGCAACTTACGTGTCATTCACCTCCATATATAGAAGAAAACCGGTATTTTTACATATAACGAACTTGCTCGCACACGGAAATAATATATCTAATTTAAGCTCTAACGGTGACTTGATCAATTTAAAGCTAATCTTTTTTAAATTGAAGTAGCGTTAATAAGTGCGAAGCGTTATAAGTTATGAGCGATTAGAAATAAAGAGCTTTTTTCGAACTCTTGATGACTTCGGAATGCGATCAAGCGATATAATATTTAATAAAGTAAATATATAAGTTTAATATTTAAAAGAGAGAAACGTTTAAGTAGCAAGATAAATCTTGTCGCCAATTAAATCCGCACAGATTTGATTATTTCGGTACTTTAATTGAAGATTTGAAGATAATCGATATGATATTTAACACATATATTCGTCTCTGAAACGTGCTCTGAAAGCGATAAGATTCACCATTGTCGATATCTGTATCGAGTTTTTTGTTGCATGCATATATTATTCTTATATAATCTTATATAATCTATGTTTTAATATATTTCTTGTAATACTATTCATCATGACGACTTTTTTAAACAATTAACGCATTAGTTATGTAAGACATTGCGCATGTTCTGATACGGTTCGTAGTAGATAGGTCGATAGGTGGATGCGAAAAAGTCTTTATCTAGGAAATCCTCACGATGACGCCGCTTTTGTGCGACAAACACAGTGCGAGCTATGAGTCAAGTCTTTACCTGCCAGCTGCACGATGATCCACACGCAACGGAAACGCGATACGAATACTGATAATAATTTCGAAGCTACAAGTTATTTATCAAAATCATCGATAAATTTGCCAACCACGTTCAAATTGTCCGATGTCTATAATATTAATATTTTATTTTAACATATTTTAAGTATATTAAAAACTGCTTGTCGCTGATATAGTGAAAATTTATAATCATTAATATCTCACGATTTTTCCATGTTACATTCAGTAATAAAATTTAATGTTCTTCTTCTTTCTCTCATTTTTATGCAATTTAATGAGAGATTTCTGCTAAGGCAAGCATATTAAGCTAAACGGCACGTTATTTGCAGGTTCTGCATGACTGTGCAAAAGCGCGGAGAGAAGTCGAGCTTCACTGGAGGGCCTCAAATTGTAGGCACATAGTCCAAGTCAAGGATGTATATGAAAATTCCTATAGCGGGAACAAATGTCTACTGGTGGTCATGGAATGGTACGTAAGAAAGCGCAACACTTCAATGCGACTACGGCGCGGCGCGGGGCGGCGGCGTCATTTATCGCGAGCATGATTCTTCAGATTCACGTCCAACTCCTTTGTGTTTCAGCATGGAAGGCGGGGAGCTGTTTCAAAGGATACAGGATAGGCAAGACGGCGCTTTTACCGAAAGAGGTAAATAGCCTCGGCATTCGAATTCTGTCGAATTTTTCTATTTTTAGAAACTACTATAAATTTACTGTACGTTTCTTTGCAGAGGCGGCGCAAGTGATGTATGAGATCTGTGTCGCGGTGAAGCATCTACACGACATGAACATCACTCACAGGGATCTAAAGCCTGAGAATCTTTTATATTCCAAACCTGGTAAGAGAACATTCTACGTATGCCTCAAAGTACCATTTGCAAAGCACCAATATCATTTGTTTTTCTGCAAGGCGTGACAACTTGAAAACATTATTATCTGTCCACAACATTTTACGAGTTTAAGAGTTCGTATTATCTGCAGACTTTGAAGAGTTATAACTGTGTGAAGGCTATACGATAACTTATGTAAATAAAATAGCAAGATTAATATAGCATTTATGTACTTCCAGACATCACTGGAATCCTGAAACTCACCGACTTTGGATTTGCTAAAGAAACACATTTAAAAGACACACTACAGACGCCATGTTACACACCTTACTACGTCGGTAAGCTTTCGCATTTTATGCGAATACATACGTGTATAGCTGAAACTATAAAATTAACATCTAATCTGTTTTAATATTTTATTTTTAGCCCCGGAAGTTTTAGGACCAGAAAAATATGACAAGAGCTGTGATATTTGGTCATTGGGAGTAATTATGTACATATTGTGAGTATGCTTCCATGTACCTTCAACAGTTATTTTATATTAATAGCTAATTTTTTTCTGCTGTGATATAGAGCACGCTCAATCCTTCATGATCCTCGTCATCTTGTTAATTAATTATAATTAAAGTTACACATTATTCCTAGATTGTGCGGCTTTCCACCATTCTACAGCAACCATGGATTGGCAATCTCGCCTGGAATGAAAAAGAGGATCCGATTAGGACAATACGACTTTCCCTCTCCGGAATGGTCGAACGTGAGTCAGGAAGCTAAGAACCTTATCAAGGGTATGCTGTGTATAGATCCAGCGGAAAGGCTTCAGATCGACGCTGTGATGCGCAACAACTGGATTGCCGTAAGAACATACTTTATAAAAAGATTTCGCTCTTATCGTGAATTTTCTCCGTAACATATCTTTTCAAAAGCCACTTGTTTCGCATAGAAATATATGGAAGTACCCGCCACTCCCTTACACACCGGACGCGTTTTGCGGGAGGGAGAGGAAATGTGGCCGGAAGTGCAAGAGGAAATGACGCGATCGCTGGCAACAATGCGCGTCGACTATGACACGGCCTGTCTGAAGCAGCTCGATCACACGAACAATCCCTTATTGAATAAACGAAGGCGCGCGAAACAGTCCGCGAACAACGCGACAGTCCCTACGCCCGCCAGCCCTACGCCCGCCTCCTAGGAAGAGGATACTGTCAGAACCAGACGGAACTGGACTTGTTTTCTGCGGAGGTGCGTCAGATACAGCGTGGTCACAACGAGGATCGTTTTCTGACTGTTGCATTTTAAGAAGCGAAAGAAATTCCGAAGTAGAGTAGTATCGAAGGGCACCTAAATCACGTAATGCGTCGCACGATTTGCGCTTATCGGCGTCCGAGTAATTAGGTGTGAGGTCAATTTTACTAGAGCGGTAATAATAACACGCGCAACGAGGACAATATTGCCCCAGCGAATGCAAGTAAGCGATGCCTTTTTAACTATCGAACGATATCAGTCTTTCTGAAATTGTAAATTTTAAAAATATGTAGGCTACATTAAATTACAAAATTGAGCAACCACTTGTAAAACGTGGAAGGGCAAACATTATTAATGCCAAGCATTAATGTTACATGTTTGTCGTTAGTTCAATTTCTGTCAAATGTAGTAATTGTCATTGTTCGAATATAATGGCCTTTATATAGAGGCACTAAATAGAAATAGTCAATGAACAAACGATACTGCTGAATGTGTCTTTGATCAAACGTAATGGATCGTACTGGAATATTTAATATTGATATTTGAAATATCTGCATCTATATGATAACGAGAGTTAAGAAAAAGAGAAAGTTTCTCAGTAAAACCTCATTGCTATTATATTCATTGACAGGAACGAATATAAAGCTATATACTTGTTATCTCGAAAAAGGGTCGAGAGATATGTATATCAAAAATCCGTTATCTTCAACAACTGAGAGTCGATTTTAGGGCTGATAAATAGTAACTGGCTTTTACTGTCTTATGTTATTGATTCAAAAACATAAAAAAACTATTATAATATCATCGAGCCAGTAATCGTTCTTATATTCTGTACACATACATATATTCTAACATAGGCGCCGAGAAAAAAATTTTTTTGCTTATTATATATAATCAAAACAACATGGGATTATTATATATAATCTCCAAACACAAATATAATAATGATGTAAAGATTATTATTTATCCGTAGGCTATTAAGACTAGCTATAGGAATAGTTGCTCATACACTTATCATTTCTAAAAAAAAATAATTTGCTGCCATTGGGTAATCAGGTGTGCATCATATTTACGTGTATCATCGAATTTATAACACATTACGACATTCACGTAATTGTCCGTTGACCGTCCAAGCCTGTTTTAAATATATGTATTAAATTTTCATAATTATTACCTCGATTCAATAAGATTTTTTATCCTATTTTTACTGATGTAATTAATTATATAATTTAGACATTGGATTATTTGTATTCTAATATCAATTATATCTCTAATATTTTCAGTATATATCTTTAATTATGTTTACGTATATTTGCACTCTGTTTTTAAGATTTACAAGTAATTACAACGATATGCTTGAGGCTGAGTACAGTTAAATGATTTGAATCTTTTTATTTAAGTCACGAATGCTATGAAGCTGATTTTAGTCGGAAGCGATCGAGTGTTACGAATTAAGATAAGTATGGACGATGTCCCTACATCGTTAAAAATACAAAAAATAGTAGATGGATGGAAACTGTATATATTTCTACTTAATTATTCGAGAATATTGTGTCTATGATTGCGTAGATGTGTCGTTAAAGATTCATAGAAATGAAATAAAATATTAGTCTATGTATTTTCAGTATCATAGTTATATAGCGCGATATTCTATGATATGATCAATGGCTGGTAAATCCGAAAAAAAGAGGAGTTCCATGTGCCTATAATTTCAATCGAACAAGATCATATTACAAATACATTCTAGAATAGTAGGAAAAGTATCACTAAAATATATAATATAAAATATCGCAAAAGAAGTATATAGTTACTTAACATTTTAAAAGACAGTCATTTTCTGCGCGCATCTAAAATGATTAGCCTATAGACGTGAGAGATATATTCGTACAGAATTTATATAAGAAAAATAATTATTCAAAAATTCCAGAGATTGAAATATATTGTGTATGGATAACATAGTTTTTAATTATATAGAGCATACACAGTTCCTCGTGTTCTACATTGATCAATTAACTCGCCCTAATCGTGAATAATGAAATAGAAAATGCATATACGCTAGTTCAATTTCAAACATTACAACGAATTCAGTAGCAAGATATTTTTATAACAAGTCAAGGTTCGCGTTGATCTGTATTTACAAAAATTGACAATAACTGCAAAAATAAATCTTAACTCTCATACCATTGCTACTTCGTCACTTACGCAATTACAATTCTCTGTATCACAGCGGTAAAATCATGTATTTTTAACACGTGACGGCGCTGTAAATTTCCATAGACTGTAACATAGAAATATGTAATGATGTTAAAAGTAAAAAAATTACAGAAGCTATTTTATATCTATATTATTATTTTTTATTAGTTCCTTCTCTTATCGAGAACTCATTTGTTTTATTACACAGAAATATTCCATTATCTTGTACTTTATTACTTATTTAATATATCATTTAAGACAAGATAATTTTTAATGACTATACACCCTCTGTATGGGACACCAGCTCAAAATCATAATTGCTATTATACAAATCATTATCAGATATAATTAAATTAACATTGATAGAAATTCAATGTATGTCATGTTCATCATTGTTCATATAGTTTATAAAATTTTATGGTTTATATCTAAGCTTTTAAAATTAATACTTTTTATTTCTAAATTAATGAAATAGACATTGGAAATAGACAAGAAAATTATATATTCGTGAAAATTACACATATTATATTTCTTTCGTACTCGTATTTATAATTCATAGAGATAATAAAGTTTAACATAATTTGTGAATTACTGAATTAGATATCTATTTTGCCGGTATACAATTATCAACTGTTTAAAATAATTATTTGACCAACGTATAATTATTAATTTTAGGACTCAATTATTAAATGTTAATTATTAACATAACCATAATAATCATTACTTATTTAATCATTATTATCTCAAATGTGTCTTATATAACAAATGTATACTTCCAAATAAATCCATTTAAAACGTTGAAATGCGTTTCATAATATTTACTAATTTAGTCCATTTAAAAATGGGTACGAATTGCGGGATTATTTAATATCGATATTATTTAACATCGGGGTATGCGAGAAACTATTATATTGCGTAGATTTCTATATTTACAATGATCCCATAAATGCATGATCGTTGAAAGCACATACCACACTTGATTACAAACTGTTGAAAAAGAAATCAGTACAAAAGAGAACACAATTAAGTTTTAACTTATACTTTATACAACGCTGGAGATATCGTTATATGTGCGTTACAATAATTTCAATACGCCTATATCTTGCTATTATAATCGCTGTACCGGAACATAAGTGGTGAACATAAAGTGAAATAATATTCAGTATCTATGTATACGAAGTATCTATGCTTACCGAATAAAGTAATAAATGTAGATGTGCATAAAGTATAAAACTGTTGTCAATCGGCTAATTGATCAAATAGAAATGCTAAGTAAGTGCGCGTCTCGCGCGTATATTCTAAAGCCCCTTGCACAATAGGCGATAGCGATAGCGATAGCGACAGCGACAGGTTGCCGACAAAGCTATACCTTTGTCGGCAACTTTGTCGCAGTCGCTATCGCCTATTGTGTAAGGGGCTTTAATGATTACATAAATAGTACGTTACAAATTATTAAAAATATACAAAGACTTTTTCTCTCGTGTGCGAGTCACCATTTGATCTTCTCATTTGTTAGCTGTAATTTTTCTATGCCAAGTAAGTGCTTTACAGTGCTTACAGTGATTCTAATACGCTTACAAGATTCTCATCGCTTAAATTTATCGATCGGAAAACATTAAGACAATTCTAATTACGAGGATTTATTGCAATATAATTTCTGTATACCCTTTCTTATTCATTAATAGAAATTTTGATATTAACTATACATATATGTGTGGTGTGACACGCGCGCGTGTGCGCGAAGCACAATGTAATTTTTATCCAATTGTATCAAATACATATTTAATGATACTCATGTGCATCGATGCAAAATCGTGCTGCTACACATGGAGTTATATCCGTAAAGAAGGAATCTATATATTTATACCCTTTTCCTAGGAGGGGTATGTCGTTTATATCTGGAGCAATAGTGATTCTATCTCATATTAATAAAACGGTGCCCTTTCACAGCTTCACAGACAAAATATCTAGTTTTCTTTACCTATAGTGCATAATGCTCAATCAAGATTTTAAAATACAGCTTTTGAAGTATTACAATATCGGAAATAGTATGCATTGTGTCATCCGCGGATACCGTGCAATTAATGTGAAAAGTATTATGGTACACCATGGGCTTTCTTTGTCTCTCTCTCTCTTTTTTTCCCTAAAAGTTCATCTAAAAGTTTATATCAAACGCCAAACTATATATAAACTCTTTGTTACTTAGTGGGCTCCGGAAGTAAAATATATTTCCCTGTATACGAGGTTTACAAATCGCGCATGATAAAACGGAGGCGTCTATTCAAAAAGACACGACGTGATCCTTAAAAATTTGCTAAGAGTTATTGGAATGTAGAGGAATTACGAATTTAGGTCCGAACGGCGATTTATACGTGATGCCGACGTCGGAGTACACCTTGTTTGGCAACGCGAGATTGCACAGGTACAATCTGCCGTTGTCGACGCTGTGCGACAGCGGTAGGGCACCCAACAGGCTGAATTTACTGGGTATACCCGGTGTACCCGTCGCCGGTGGTTCGATAGCCAGCACGGGCGCTCGATTACTCTGGAAACATCTCGCTATTGGAGTAATCATTCTAGGCGAATCCTCGTCGCAGAGCGCTACAATTATCAGATCCACCGTTGGTAGATTCCTGACCTTGGTCTCTACCTTGTTCCCCGTTAACCTGTATAGCGACAGCTCCTGCAGGAGAAATACATCTTCCGTATTCTCCAAGAATACGATCGTCTTCACACCGTGACTGGACAATTGCCGGGCGCAGTTGATACCCGCGGCGCCGGAACGATGCGGTCCACACAGCGCGACCACAGTGGGCCACTGATGCGCATTATTCGGATTCAACCGATGACTTCCGCCCAACAGCTGTAAGGTAAGTTCAGCACCGGCGCGACCGAGCAGTTCCACCTATCAAAGAAAGCACAGTGGCGATAAAACTATTAAATAAAAAATTAGAATGAAAATAGAATTAGATAAAAAAATAGAATAAAAACAATTTGGATACATATATATATAAGCGCTTATGTAAAAAGGTGGCGCGTCAGCTATATCTTGAAAATTCCTTTTTAATTATTTTCTAATCAGAGTAAATATGTTCCATCAATATATACTTATATTTATTTAAATGTATTGCATCTCAAAACTGGATTGATATTGTTTGTATGTAGAATCTCTAGAATTATCTCTCTTTCTCCTAGTTTGATATTAGCAGAAATAATTCGAAAAATAATATCAATACGAACCCTGCGTTCCCAACTTATTCCCAATCTATCTGCCGCACCTATTAACTGCCGATGTAGGTTGAGAGTGATGCTGGGAATTACTAGACCGTTGTCTGTAACATATTCCTTTTCACCACGACAAGGCACCACAATCTGTCTAAGTACTGTAGGCTCGGATACAAGAATATTTTCGTCAGGCCGGTAGATACCTCGATTGCTTTCCGACTGCCTAACGATATCCGGCTTCAAAGAGTTTATTTCTTGCCACACAGCCTGCAAGAGACCAATCATATAATTATAATAAAATAACCTTACCCAGTGAACACAATGCCTCAAATTGGGACAGATGTCATTAAGACCCTGATTTGAGACAGGCATGCTGTTTGGGTTACAAGCAATATATATCACTTCAAATTTTCTCTTTAATATAAATAAATAATTAATAAATAAATATTCTTTAAAAAGCAATAAAACTCAACCTCTTTATTGAACAATGCTAAATTCTTTTCGAAATCAAAGTCCTGCTGTAGGGACTGATCAATCGGAGTACCAAAGGTATGTTCATCCCTTTCTAGTGCTCTTTGCCTGTGAGTTAATTTTTTTGGGATTGATTTGTTGTAAGACGCATTATTTTCGACTGTAACAATATTGTTGCATTAATATGACACACATATGGTAGGCGTAAATATATAAATCATATATGCGTACTTGGAGGTATTTTCCCATTAGGAGTCTGCTCCACTTGCTGCTGGTTAGGTTCCGCAGGCTTTTTGAAATTCGTCTGCGTCTGAGAACTTCCCGCTTGCACCGCATTTGAAACGCATTCTGAAATAGATCGCCCGACCCTTTTCGCAATCGGTCTCTTTACAATCACCTTACTGTGCGTATCATTCACATTTCCTGCTTCCTCGTTTGATATAATCTTAAGATTCTGTATATCCTTCACACTGCAATAATATAATTAATACATTAGCTAAGATGTTATATAGAATGTTGGATAACTTAATGCTAGGGCAATTGTCTGTAAAAAATCTGTTACGAAAAATATGAGTTTGATTACCACCTAGATTATATGTATATACAACACTAAATTTCAAGTGCGAGAATATTTGACTTTGACAGAAACAAGGGATAAACAAATCGCTGTATTGTGTCATTTCTTGAAGGACAGGATAATAATAAGTAATTTTAAACACACAAGCTTTAGTCTTCCAAAATGGAAGTTGGGCAATGGATTTTATACAAATTCTTTTTTACAAAGACAATAACTGTAATGAAACCGACATGGAAGTTTTGGCTCATCTAGGGCTATGACGCAATGAGATACATAAATAATATATCAATTTATGCATTGATTTAAATTGAATTTAGCTTTATTTCAGTCTATTTAAGTTCAATGTAACTAAAAATAAATTTATTTGAATTTACTGAAATTCTACATATACATATAGAATTTCTCTATTATTTCTCATGGTCTACAATGAGAAACTTACCTCAAGCTAACAATGGAAGAAGTATGAGGCATGCCATTGCAAAATGCTTTAGCCAGGGTCAAACTGTCCTCATTTAGATCGATAATCTTACCCTGGTAAGCAACATCGTCGATACACTTCACCGAAACTGTACAACCCAGAAACTGTTCGGACATCTTGCCTGAAACTGAAATATGAAAGTCAAACCCCGCAGGCTTCCGTAATTATTCACAATATAAATTACAATCCTGCTTGATAACGACATCGCTAATCAAATGAGGAAAAATCACGCGTAATTAAAAATTATGACAAAATTTGTGGTAATTCGCTACAATTAACGTGATTAATTCATTGTTCGATAATGTATGATTACGAGCCAATGTATTGCAATCAACAACAATGAAATATATGATAATGAAAATTATAATGGATAACGGAGTCCCAAATGCATCATTTTATACATAAAACCCAGACTGCAATAGTGTTAATGTATAGATAAGGCTATTCTCTTAAACTTAAGATTTATGTAAATACAGCGTGTAACGTTAATAAATGAAAATTGATAAATGCAAAGGCAGGAGTAAAATAATTATCAGTTCCAAGTACCATTAAAAAAAAAAACTCCACTTTCAAAGTTGTTGCTTGTATGAGGTTAAAAGCGGTGCGACGTTACCGAAGAATTAAGGCGTACGTTATTTACGTACCTGAATCGACGGCGGTAGAGATAAAGACGATTAAACAACGGGGAAAGAGTAAATCGCGACGACGCAGCGATAATCGCACTTAATTGTTGCGCACTATTCCTGCGATTTGGCGTGCGGCATCGGAACGAATCGCCACCCCGTATGTCGGCTCGTATCGTCGTATACCTCCGGCTACCTCGCACACATATTGTGTGCGTGACTATGATTTTTTCCTTCGTACTCCGTTCTCCGACCGTGAAGATTCTTGAACGTTTTTCTCGCGACGTTCGTGTAGCCTCGCGAGGCGAACAAATCCGTAATTATAAACAACAAGCCGAAATTTATACGAGCTGGCAAAATGTAAATATTATTTACGGTTTACGCGTCGGACGTACCGACCGTCAATATTGTTTCCCGCGATCCCGAAAAAGATGACTTAAAAGATATGTTGAAACGATGTCTTAACGACGCCATAAATCAGAACGTATTTCTGACAGTTTTAGAAGGTGTTTTTAAAACTTTGAAATCTCTCAAAATGACTTTAAAATGTCATAATGTTCAGCAGGAACCTATTATACCGACGAAATTTTCCGTCAAAAATGGTACTGGGATTCGTCCGCAGAACGTTGCGAATTTTGCCACGGAGTGGCGCGGCAGTTTATCCGAATTTTTCGTACATACACAATCTTTGCTGTATTATCTACGTGACAGTCGTGACTCGTGACACGTTTGTGACAGTGTATAAAATATGGCAGACTCGGCAGGAAATTGGTGTCTCATCGAGAGCGATCCTGGCGTTTTTACTGAATTGATTAAAGAATTCGGCAAGTTATATTTCTAATTTTTATTCCCTGTAATATTGTACTGTGTTCTTTGCTTGCATTATTTTTGGCGTTACCCGAATTAGGCGATGCTCCAGTGGAAAGCGTTTGTCATGCGAATGAAGCTCCTGCACATGATATATGTAATATATATGTAATTTATATATATATTATATATATATATGATTTGATGATTAAAAACTGTGATTATTCAATTTCACAGAGACATTTTTTCGATCAATTCTTCAATTCCTCAATTTTTCGATTTTTCAATTCTCAACCCTTTAAACTCAATTGTTAAGTGGAATATTATCTATTATTTTATTTACGAAGGTGTCAAAGGCGCACAAGTGGAAGAATTATGGAGTTTGGATGATGACCAGTTCAATGACTTGAAGTAAGTTTATTTTGGGTGCTTTTCATTTAGTGACACATATCGACACAAATGACGTTCTATCTTTCTCGGCATTCAATAAATAACAAAGACAGAACGACACTTGTGTCGACTTGTGTCAGTAAATAGAATGCAGCTTTTGTGCAATACTTATAGGAAATTTGTTTTTTATCGCATTGGAATGCATCAGGACTTTCCTCCTGGCTTTTGCTAAATTTCAAATATATACTTGTTTTATTTTAAGTAAAGAAAATGTACACTGCGCTTATAAGAAACAGGTTTAATCAATAAAATTATGTTATCTGAAAGATATCTGCAAATTAGATATATTCTGTATAATTAATGTTTTCACTTGCTATCAAGTTATATTTTTCTTCAGACTTGCTTTTCTTTAGATATACAAGATAAGAGACATAGATACATAGATAAAAAGGAAAAAAGTCAATAATTTTGACGAGATTAGTATCTGTTATTTTTGTAGATTAAATTTTACCATTTTTCAAACTCAAATTTGTTATAAATTTCTTCTTTTGCAGACCTATTCACGGCTTAATATTTTTATTTAAATGGGTACAAGACGATGAATTATCAGGAAATATTGTGCAAGACAGTAGATTGGATAAAATATTCTTTGCGAAACAGGTATGTAAAGTGTAAAATATATATCTAGTAAGTATATCTTAAATAGATATGCTATAATAACTGGGAAAGTAAATTAAAAATTGTTAATTATTCATTAACTTTGTACTTCATAAAAATATAAAAGAATTAAAATATATTGAAATATTTGACATATAATGACAGATCGTATTATTATTTAATCCTACGTTATGTGGGATAATTAACAAATACTATTTATAAAATAATAACATTTAATTTGTAGGTGATAAACAATGCCTGCGCGACGCAAGCGATATTGAGCGTTTTATTAAATTGTAAGCATGGAGACATATCTCTAGGACCAAACTTAGAAGAATTTAAAAACTTCTGTCAAAGTTTTGATGCAAATATGCGCGGACTTGCACTTAGTAATTCCGATGTTATAAGGGAAGTGCATAATTCCTTCTCCAGGTATTTAGTACATATGCTTTTTAACTAACAAATATTGTTTTGCTAAAAAAAGTGTCACATTTTGTACTGTACATATTGTATATACTGAAATTTTAGACAGTCCTTATTTGAATACGACTCGAAGCAAGCTTCTAAAGATGACGATGTGTTTCATTTTGTGAGTTATATTCCGATCGATGGTCGTCTATACGAGTTAGACGGGTTGAAAGACGGGCCAATTGATTTAGGCCCGTGTCCGGTAGGGGAACAATGGGTACAAGCTGCGAAACCTATAATTCAAAAGCGGATAAACAAGTAAGTTGCGAAAAATAACTTTCTCATTAATTTATCTTGTATACACGTAGATAAATCTTATGATGTATCATTATATGTGTTGCTTATCAACTGCGTGGGATAAAAGTGAAAATGATTATAAACAGGTATAACGAAGGCGAAATTCATTTCAATCTGATGGCTATAGTGACAGATAGAAAAACTTTATACGAAAGGCAGAAGGCCAATGTTTGCGATCCTGAAGAATTAGAACGTCTGCAGGCCTTAATTGAGGAAGAGATCAGAAAGTCGAAAAGATATCAAATAGAGAACATTAGACGGAAGCATAATTATTTACCACTCATCATGGAACTTTTGAAGATTCTCGCGAAGGAAGGCAAGCTTGTACCTTTGTATCAAAAAGCAAAAGAGAAAGCACTTGAGAAAGAGTCAAAGAAAAATAAGGTTTAAATTTAAGCGAAATCAGGAAAAATATTATAAACCAAAATAATTGGTATTTGTGTTGGTGTAGCAAAGAGGCAAAAATAAGTCATTGTATCAATCCTTTTTTCTTTTTAATAAAACAGCTATTGCTTAATAAATTTTTGTGCTTTCCTTAAAAACAGCTTAAAGTAACACATTTAGAGTAATATTGCGTTATATTTTTATAAGTATTGATTTAATATTACCTATGTAAAGTATAGTTTAAAAAAAATAGTTTAAAAAATTGTAATTTAAATATAAAAAAGTATAATTGTTTATTATAAATTGTTTAATATTTTTATATTATTTATAATTTTATAATTTCACAAGTTAACTATCGGCAGAAGTTACTTCTTGATCAGTATCGGCTGTTGTTCTGTTTTCATTTAGTAAAGATACTTTCCCATCTTTATACACAATTTTAGGTAAAAACTTATCGGTTAGGGCCTTTCGAATTTCAGGAATTTTAGTATGATATAAGTGTTCCACAACATCTGTAACATAAAAATTCTCATATAATATATGTACGCAGTATGCATAACATTTATTAAGGACAATTTTGATATTTTGTTACCGACGAAATTATCCACGTCACTCATATTGCATTCTTGAACAAGATAATAAAAGACCTTGCAAAGAAATACTCCAGTTGCTCCATCAAAGTATTTTGCAACGTTGGGCCATATAATTTCACGAGTATTCGATATTCCTTTTGCATACATACTGCAACAATGGATTAAATGCGTTTGTATATGTGATCTAAAAATGCTTATGATCTATTAAAATTAATCCGAATGGTTCTTAATAGATTGTATATTACAATTTACAACCATAAAATGCAATGATACTTACTATTCAATTAACTGTATCTTAATGTCGTTTAAATAAATAGGATCTGTACTGAATAATTGCAGATGCAACTGATGTTGCCAGAAGGTTCTTAAGACATTCTCATGTATATTTAGTTTTGTTTCCATTTTCTGCCACACTGGCTTGGGAAGCGTGGCATCTTTGAGATCTCTTATATCTTCACTTAATGTAACATTGAGTAAAGTTTTTATGAATTTTTTTATCAGTGGTAACGTCCACCTAATGTCAACTAACGCTGTAATTAGATTAAATAGATAATATACATATGTGGATATATATCAGATATCTAAAAATATAACTAATATACGTATAATTATAACATTTGATGGTGATAGAATATATCATGAGTTACTTACGTTCCGTATCCGATCTATCCTGAGCTTGATTTTTGAGATGCTGATATCGCATAAAGATCGATCTACTTGTTCGTTTTAGTATCTTTCCCAATTCACTAAATTTAGTATCATGTTTCTTAAGATGTTTATTCTGTATGTACTTTAAAATTATTTTATCTTCTTTAGAAGTATAACTAAAACATAAAGATCATACGTAAGTATGATTGAAGTGGTTTAAGATCAATTCTTGATTTAAGATCTTTGTATCTTACCGAGTAGTGATTTTATTGCGATATAATACTTTAAATCTGGAATAAACGCTGTAGAGAGTTCGCCAAGGTAACCCATTTGCCAAAAATTGAACAAATTTCTGTCTTTCCTTCACATCGCGTATAAAGTATCTTCCATTGTGTCTCCAATAAAGAAATGGCTCGACTGTCTTTGCATCCCAGTCATGGAGCTGTATACAGCACGTTATAATAAAACATATTGTTCGAAGGCAGTTCGATTCGGTTATATTGCCCTATGATGTAGTTAAAATATACCTCGCAAAACATCTCCCAGTTTTTCCTGATAATATTGTCCTCTGTAGGTGTATACGGACCATTTCGGACTGGCCCATGTTTCTGAAATAATATTTTCGCTGTTCTCGTTGGCGCATGAGATCCAGAAACCTCTATTTTGTGTTGTGGTGATACCTCATGAGTCAGTTTTACATGTAGGTCCATCAATTTCTGGAATATAAAAAATCAGTTGATATACACAAGAAAAATAAATCATACGATACGCAAAATATAATAATCAAAACTAACTTTTATGTTAATTAACGGGATTTCTTCCCATTCCTCAAAATTTTTCAACTTTTCTGAAAGATATTCCTCTTCTGTATTCGATTTACGTTTCTTGAAATGACATTTGTTTTTCCTTTTTACTCGAGGCCTTAATTCTATTCTGAGCTTACGTTTTTTGTTAAACTGTTCGTCTGAATCTGAAGTCGTGTCAAGATTTTTCTTTTCAGAATCACTGATAAAAAGGGGATCCGTCGTTGGATCCTTATTCACTTCTGAGTCTTCTGACAGATTGTCGTCCCTCATCGAGGATAATAAAACATCATTACCATGTTCAAACTTTACTACAGAATCTAAGTCGTGCAATAGATCAATACTTTCAAAATTATTGAAATTTTCTATATCGCACAATTCTAATTTGAACGTATCGCAATCACTATTTATGCTAATCGTTCTTTTTCTTTGCGGGCATGTGTCCACCGGAGTTATATCCACAGATTTATCTGACTTTTTAAACACTGGACTTTTAAATGCCGGACTCTTCAACAAGTCCTTTTGATTAACCAAGTGTATGTTCTTTTGAGGACTATTTGTATTTTTATCTGCACAATTTGTATCGTCAAAACCCGTCAGATTATTCACTTTGTTAGGTGTACTACATATATGGTTTGGCGATTTATTAAACCTTGGATCTGAATCCGTATCAGGATCTTTTCTTTCACATTTGATGAAAAGGGAATTCATCGTTGGATCCTTATTCACTTCTGACAGACCGTCATGCTCTTGCGTCATATGACTTGGGCACTTAAATTCGTTTTCTTTGCAAGAATTTCCTAATTCTTCATTTCCAAGTTTCTGTACATTTGCCGTTATTATCTCAGCCATTAAAAATTTCTTTTCCTTAATTCTGTTTCTTTCTGCAACACAGATTATTAATGTGATCGTACACGATATCAAGTGATATTATATATTTTTCAATTACGGCAATTTCATTTATATTAAAATTATTTTATATTTCCCTGTAGTACATACATACAACTCATAAATATTTTTCAAAAAATATTTAATAATAGTTACCGTTTTTTTTTTTCAGTAGGGGCTGGTCACGATTTTTCTTTTTGGTTTATGCATCAACGCTATCACTATCAACATAGGGGCTGCATTCCGAAATTCACTGTCAGCGTGTCAGCAACTTTCAGTATGTTTCAGTACTGAAAATCTATAAGTAGTATACGTGAGTACTGACAGTGAATATCGGAATGCAGGCAGGGTTAGGTCACGTGTAAAGCTCCTTGCACAATGCAAGAAAACAACAGGGGGAATAGAAATCAGAAATCATGTATAAATGCAGAATAAACAGTGACACAGGCAATAGACACAGAGTTTCCGTCACGTTGGAAATTCTGTGCCTATTGCCTGTTGCCAACCAATTATAGCATTCGAATTTTTTAGGTTGCAATTAACGATTTTTTGGTTATTTCCTGTTCCTATTGCCTGGCATTGTGCAAGGGGCTTAAGTCACGTGACAAATTGAAATTAGTTTGGCGACCTCGTGCAGGAAAGTGTGAAATTAATCTGAAGGGCATTACATTATCGATGGTTAATATTACCGACAGCAATAAATATCGATCGTAATTATCCTGGTTCAGAATTAATATTTTGCAAATTGTAAAAGTTTGAATTATTAATTCTCGATAATAGAATGTGCGAATACATAATCGGATAAGAGATAGCGCTAATTGGTCGATATTAAGGAATTTATTTTGATCTCTCAAATAAAGAAAAAGTGAATTTATTTTGATCTCTCTTGTAAATTGCCAAAATTGAAATTAAGAAATCGACAAATTATCAGGAAAGTATATAGAGAAGAAGTAAATTAACTGTGAAATTCTAAGATGTTCTATAAGTAAAGTGAATGTTGTACCGCTCAAAGTGGTTATTGCGCATGTAGATAAAATAAAATTCTAATTATTATATTAAAATATATGTCACGTATAAACAATTTATTTTTAAACTATATATATACTTATAAATGATGTATATTACCTTTATTTTTTTCGGCGTTGTATAAAATTCGTTTCTTTAAGAAACATTTTTCACAGACAATATTATGCGTGTTAAATGTATTCTAATAATTCGTAAATTTATTAATGTATTTTAATATTCAGTTCTTTCTTTTTCTATAGCTTCGCGCTATAAACTTATAATATAATTACACTATATACACACACATGAAATATCCGTGTTTTTGCACATTGCTATTTATGAGCGAAGTTCTTCAATTGCACGTTACACGAAGAATTAGTAAAAATGCCATTTTATTATGTAACATTAATTTTAAAATTTTATTAATAATTTTATTACTAAATAATATGTACTAAATCTCTATTTTGACGTATACGCACTAATTACAAATGCAACAATATTTTTGCGCCTAAATTAGATCTAAATTAACAGACGTGCGCGCAAATATTTTTAATGTTTCAATTTAAGAAATAAATATAAAACTTTCATTTTGGCTTATTAATATTTTTTCTGTATTATATTGAAATAAGTAAGCTTACTTATTTGATATTTAACATTTTTTTTATATAAATAGAAAATTAATGTTAATTTTCGCTTGTAAAAATCCTCAATTAAGAACGATACTTGACATGACGAATGCAGTAATGCTTTCTTTCTTATTTTTTATCTTTCGTGTAATGTATTTTATCTTTTTATATTACGCTATTACTTCTCGTTACACGACGAGGTATATACGTCGCTTTTACATGAGATATAATCTAATTTGATAAAAAATTATTACATCTGATGCTGCTGATGCGTAGGCGCGATCATTTTACTGCCACTATCCTGATGAGAGAGGAGTGACATTTTCGTTTCGCGTCTCTTCATGTTGTTTCGTTGAACCGACGAAGCATCAGACCTGCAACTAATGATAGTACCAATAATTAGACACGTTTTGTGCGTCAAGACGGTTCAAATATCAAGACGGTTTAATTTCCTTTTTTGATTAGAAACGTAATTATGTCTCTTCGTTACGAATCCGCGCGCGTCGCGACACGTGTATTACGTTCGTCATAACACGCGAGTTACATTGTAGCAAAACGCGAAAGGGATTTTACGAGATACACGGCACATCGAACGGTCTCGTAAATTCTATTCACCTATGATAAGAGCCCTGCCGTTGTCTCTGCGGCCAAAGATGAAACGCTCCATATATCAGGGGATTTACCAAGCTGTTGCTCATACCGAAGAAAAATATTCCGTTCCGTAGCTCCTCGCTGAGCTGAAAGGCATTCGTTTGTTAGCGTACGACGTTGACTTTTCAATGTAGACCAATATAATCCCTCTGCTCTGCTCCGATCAAAAATATACTAACGTGATCGTCCGGATTGACAAACAGGAGAATTATCATCATCGTGTAGTACGGCGTCCACCAAATTAGAAATGCCACTACGATAACGACGCTGAGGCGTAGTGACTTCGCTTTTGCCCGGTGGATCAGTCTTCTCCTATTTAAGTCGCTGTCTCTGTACGTTCTCGTTGGTTCCATTTTGAAAGTTCTCTGACTTCCTGGAACAAGATATTTCGTTAGATATATAACTAGACACATTATTTAGCCTATTTGTCTATTATATTACTATAATGACAATAAGTATATATATACATATATGTATATATAAATTTTTCGATAGTTGTCTTCTCCACTTTTTCTTTCTATTGATTTATTTTCGTAGACTTTGTAAGCTACGCTCACGAAATTTAGAACACCCAATATATATTTTGTAACATTCTAGAAATAAATAATACAATTTTGTCCATGAAATCCAGTCCGATTTCAATTTTGGACATTTCTTTAATTACTAAAGTAAATTATCGAATATATAATTATCGAAGAATATATCTGTACGTTACCGGATATTTCTTTAATTACTAAACTAAATTGTCGAATATATGATTATCATTCGCGAAGAATATACCTGTACCTTAGAGATGAAGAAACATATCTCTATTATTATAAATTTAGGGAAAACAGGATTTAAAGTTTTAAATAGGGAAATGGTGTATTTTTAGATATAAAATAGAAGTAGCAATTCGATTTATTGAGTTTTTAATAAAGTAATTTAACTGACTGATAGTCACAACATTTTTAACTGACATGTTTAATAGTAGGTAACAACAACGCTGTAGCTAATCTGAAAAACTGGGGACGCGATTCTTTACCTTTAAGGTATATATATAGATATAAAAAGAATTAAGATCACGAAGAATATAAAAGGTGGCCGGTGGTTATACAGGGTGGCCGGTAATAATTGGCGAACCTCTTGTATGCAAGTGGAGTGAGTTAAACCGAGTAAAAAAGTCTTCTACTATTTTGCGAAATTCGCAATACTTACTAAAAAATTAATTGAAAAAGATCGGCCAATCTACTCTAGTAAGAAACGCGCGGCGAGAAGAGACATCCCATTCCCAAGTATTGCGAATTATTATTATTACCGGACACTCTGTATATTGTCGAATATATAAGATCGTATAATAAGATTATCGAAAAGTTATAGATGCGAATAGCGAATCGCGCGTTCACTGCAAGTATAATTTTGCATAACGTATAGAAAAATACTTACGGGAAATAGTGACTACCGTGGATACGTATGTGGTGATTAAAATTGCTAATGGCAGGAGGAACATAAAGAACAGGCTGAAACTTGCGTATAACTGTTCCTGCCAGGGTTCGGTGTAAACGCCGTGTGTCACGCATTGCGTAAATACTTCGACGAATGGTCCTTGCGCAACATGAAATACCGCGATCTGTTAAAATAAATTGGTGTATAAATATATGCGGACATCAATATATTAGCGAATTACGTGGATGAAATAATGATAGAGTATGTTGATTAGGTATCCGCTTGCTGCGGATACGACAGAGAATACAGAATTCGCGGAGTCTAAAAGTTCAATGATTTGCGTAAAAACCTAAATAAATTAGCTAATATATAAGACGTTCTGCGAAAAGATATTCGTAAGATGTTAACATGTGTTTTTATGTGTTTTTATGTGTTTTTTATTATAAATTTAAACGGAAAGTTAAAATAAACGTGGACTTGACAATGCGGAGTTTAATTATTTTTATTAAATAATTTGAAAATTTCATCTGTAATAATTTATTCTAAATATTTACACATTTTTATCTAAATGTTTATATAATTATATATTTCATATAATATAATTATATACTTTATCTAAATATTTATTTTAAATCAGAAAGGAATTGTGCCTTTGATAAATACTTAATACATGAAAGTTTGCGACATTAAATGTTAAATGTCGAACACTCTCCGCTCATTTATGATGTATCAATGAATTTCCTTTTTTAGCTACATAATAAATCATATTATTTTACGTTTAGAAAATTATATAAAAGTATGTATGTAAAAGGAACTAATATCCAGAGCGGAGCTAATATCACACACTTTCGACGTTCATTTGTAAACCGTCCGCTTATCGATTCGATCTCTTGACCGAAAGGCGAAAACGTGACCGCGTTTAGCGGGTCAGCTGACTTCCAAAAGTTCCAAATTTGCCGTGCTTTCTCGATAAGGCCGGGACATTGAGGCAGGAGATAAAACGAAGGTTACCGTGAAAAGAAACTCGTGGAACAGGAGAGGCGCATTAATTAAACGGGCCGTTTGTCTCCCGGCTTGTCACGAGATATATACGTTTGTCATCAATCTCCGCCACACGGACCGCGTTTCTTTCTTCGGTCGCGACAACTGTTCCCTTGACACTGGGCGATGACTCGCGATCTTCGTCCTCTCCGTCTCTAACGCGTCGGGTTACGGGATACGGGGACCGATCTCGAAAGTTTCAGCATCCACCGTTCGGTCGAAGCACCTGATGCCTTATTAAATCTTGGGCTTATCTAACATCGGTTTCTCCTCGAGAGCAGAATAGCGCTCGATCGGATTGCAACGTCTACCTCGCGCTTTGGTGCATCTGTCATTACTTATTTTATAGGTAGGTATGCTAATACATATGAAATACGCGTACTGATCTTTGAAGCATCCTGTTTTTTTTCTTCACTGGAGACATACATCTCTACCGCGTGTGAGAGATATCAATGATGACTCCATTGAAGTAACATAATTATATATAATCGTATATGCTCATATATGGCCATATAATATTGTTTAAGATTATATTTTCTATTTCTTATATGATGATATATAATTATATATCTACTAATATGAACTAATATGAACAAACAGGAGGTATTTTTTCCCGGGTGAGTTATCGGTATAATTACTTTATATTGAATGCCAGTATCGATTCCGAATTACGTATATCTAAGAACCATTTGATTAATAAGACATGAAATTGTACAAACTTTGTTAATTTAGAATCTCATCGCGATCATCATGGTGCATCTGACCGCGAAGATCCTCGGTTTAGTGATCTCCGCAATCAAGAACCTTCGTGAGCTCACAGGATCTACATCGCGAGAAATTCTTCAGTACATTTCATCCGTTTACAATATCCCATCTGCTGTGGCACGACGTCAGGTTTAAAAAAATGTTTAACTATAATTCCATACCGTTTGCATTACGACACCACAAATGATCTATAGCGCGTGTAATTTTTTCTAGTAATATACATTAAAATTAATAAGTTTTTTCCGCGTGTCATTATTCAACATGACGTCGATTGACGAAGAGTTAACTTTTGGAATTTTTTGCGGTATCTGTTTTTTTTTGCGTCCTTAAAAATTGCGTAATTTAAACTATGCGCGTCAGCGCACTTTTCCGGTAAAAGTGCATATTTTGCTAATGATTTAATCCTATAGTGATTTATTAGTCTGCTAATTAGAAAGAAAATTTATTGCGTGTTTTGTTAAGTCTGGTTTGTCGACCGCGATTACTTTATCGCGACCTAGGTTTGCGGCACTCCAGCAATCATTCATGATTATTATCTCACAGTTCATGAACCTGTTCTAAGTCATTATTTAAATCATCTAACATTATTTATGCTTTTCATTTCTATATATAAATAGGTAGAAGACAGGCTATGCCACTCTTCAAAGAAATTATTTGTAAAGCGCTTATTCTTTGTCATTCTCGTTTCTCTTTTTTCTCTTATTCAATTCATTTTTAGTAATTTTCATATAGTATAACCAAAATGTTGATATAATATACGAATATAAAATATTATATGATATCGAAAGTGAGTGAAGTAAGAAGTTTTTTTAAGGCAGTCTAAATTTTAAATTAATCAAAAATTCCTGTGCAGTTTTGCTGACATCATTTCTACAAGACTGTCTCTTAATAAATAACAAAAAATGTAGAACGATTAATATATGTACATATTCACGAAGCTGTCTTGCTCACAGATACAAAATGCTTTGAAGCGCGGCGTCACTTATGGGATCCTGAAGAAAACCGGTAGTCATTATAGTTTGCCGACCGACAATAAAATTGCACGGCAGGAGGTGGCCGCTCAGGAGATCGGCATGCTGGATCTGTATCGCCAGCGAAAGGTTCATCGATCGAGGGGCGGCAGGGCACGACGTAACAGAGAGACTGCTGGGCGCAGTCGAAGGGTCGCCTGCAGGTGCAGTAGGAGAGATGCGCGACGAAGGTCACGAGAGTGCAGGTCAAGGTCCTGCAGGAGGAGAAGAAGGGGAAGACGCGGACGCGGAGGCTTTGGTGGACGTGTTCATGACGAGACGACGAGGCCTAGAATCGAACCTATTTCCGACGCTGACAAATTGACTGCCAAGTCGACTGGCAAGTCGACTGGATTGAACCCAACTACGACAGGGGATAGGGTGATTGGCGGCATCGAGCGAGACAATCGCTCAAGCATGCCTTCCGGACAATGGGATCGCAGTATACCGTTATCATGTTGATCGTGGAGATATTTCAGTGATATCCCTTGGGATCCCGAAATTTTGTAATACTGTTTTTTAAACAACACTCGAATTGTTTTGGGAAGTAATTTTTGTTTTCACTTCTATTTGAGTCTTTTCTTTAAGTCTTTCTATATGTCTTAACAGTTTTGAACATGTATAGAATTGGATATATACATCGAAAAAAAGAATAGAATTTTATTTAGACAAATGTTATTCGTGTAACTATAGCATATTTTTGATTGCTATATGTTTTTACTGCTGAATAAAATGGATCACAAGTAAAGCTGCAAAAACAATTTTGTGATTTAATTTATTTTATACAATAAAAGCCTTTGTTTTATATTACAGCCAGTTCGAAGAAAAATATACTAAAATTTACGTAGGCATTCTTGCGAATGCTGTGTCATGTGTAATTGTGACCGCTAAACAGAAAAACGCACTATTTTTGTATATCTGTTTTTGTTGCTGCAGTTTTGCTAAATAAAATATTTTAGGATAAAAATTTTACTTAAATAAATATTTTTTACAATAAAAATTTCATGATTTAACTTGTTGTTTTTGCACTGAAGTAATTACATTTGAAATATATACTGTTATAAGAGATATAAAAATGTATATTATAGATGCGATCAAATCGTCAATACAAGGATTTTCGCGAATGCTATGTCATGCATTTAATTGCCAGTGGTCGTTAAGTGGAAAACGCATTCTTATTATGTATAAGAACTTCTGGAAAGAATGATCAATATCTCGAATAGTGGAAGCTGAAAAGTTTCCATGAACACATGCTGCGGAGTTACAAACTGTTGAGTAAAGATGAAATTGAAATAAGTTCACGAAATATACGAAACGTTCTCTCCGGCAATAACAGACATTTCGCGAAATGTTAATTCTTTTTTTTTTTTTTTTTGAACACTATGTATATATGTATGTGCCTTGAGGGATGTACAAGACTGTGTTTTGCACACTAATGATGAGCACGATGCAAGTAAGAATCTGTTGTATAATGCTTGCTGTTTATTATCTATTTCTACATGCCACGATAACAGGTGTATGTTTTATATATAAGTTACATTATTTTCTTATCTATCATAATTAATGCGCACACTTTGCGCTCTATTCCCGGAAGCTTGATGTAAATCAGAACATCTCTGATTCGTTATTTCTCTCCTTGGAAAATCCAGCTCCTGTTATTTCGTTGGAAAACTTATAATGAAAATTTACATACATTACGCAGAGTTTTACACGTGGTTTGTAACTCCTAATACAATTACAGCCAAGAAATTTTCCAACAAAGATTTAATATACTTATTAATTAAAATAAGCTACGCCTATTCTGATAATTGAACGTAACATTGCGTGATACCAATTAGTGTCTATGATATTGCAATTATTAACGATAAAAAAAGTAAAGCCGCCATATTCCGATACATTTTTTGCTGGTATGATTACATTGATTACATTAGAATTAGAATTAATACAGGCAATAAAAGATATTTGCTCAACGAGTTTTTATCTTACGACATTATCATAGAAATATCCTTCATTTGTGATGAATATCGTAACGAGTGACATAACATTAAATGAATTTTACTTTGAATTGACAAAAGAGAATAACAAATTTATATCTTGAATATTTTAAAACATATAAAAGAACATTTATACATATCTTATTTAAAGGCGATTTTTGGTATCCTACATTAATTATGAAAAATATTACAAATTATTCAAAATATATCGGTGTAGATTATCGTTTCTTAAATTTTTTATGTCTACAGGCAATGTGAACACTACATATTTAACTCTTTGTTCTTTAAGTCATAACTCAAAGCAAAAACTTGTTTGTTACTTGTCAAGTTTGTGTGATCTTTGATATTTATCAATTATCCATTTCTGGAACCTTCAACATTTCTACAATAGTTCAGATTAGATCATTACTAATGCGATTTAACTAACTTTTTTGTCGATATAAAGTCGCGTTATGTAAAATTAAATAATGTAAGTTTCCGATGGAATTTTTAAAATAATTAATAATATCTTGAGCCGTATATATTTCTATGCGAAACTTGTTTATCGATAGACATTTTCCTAGCAATCAACTGTCTTGACGACACAGCATTTATAACCGCTATTTAATATTCAACTGAGAACCCATTTGTCCGAGTCGGAGATATAATTTTATGTAGTAAACTATCGTCAGATAAAAAGCTGATTTTCAAGAAAATCGACGCACGTGACATTTTAATGATTGACTACGTCTTTTTAAAAACGTCTTCATAGCGTGTTTCAAATTATCAGATTTTAATGACGTAATAATTATGAGATTAAAATATAAATCGTTTCTTTACTTTATACGTAGAATCTGAGATAATAAGTGTGCTTTGAATGCATAATGTATATTAGCATATTTTCATGAATTAGGAGTAAAGGTTTAAAACGCGTGTTTTCTGTAATACCCATGTTCCCCTGGAACGTGTCTTTGCGATAATAGTCGCTAGATTTGTGCGAAAAGTATGACTGGAATAATAAAACTTAAGACCTAAACGAATAAGATATTTGTTGGATTTTGAAAAATACAAAAGGAGAGCCTTTTTTTTTATATTTTTCTAATATATGCGGGAAACGTCTAAGAGTTTGTGCGCTATCTCATAATAATAAGTTTTAAATCGGAGAATATATGTATTTAATAGAATAAAAATTTAAGATATGAAAGTATAATTTTAACCTTTAAAAAAATATATACATATATAAATTTTGAATAATTGATAGTGTTTGCGCGCATAATGTACAAGATTAAAACACTTTTACGATATATAACTGCAACAAGTGCAATTTGTAAAATTAAACATCCGAATATATAAACAACAGAATCACATACATCGTCTACATATCTCTATCGATTCACAGTTGAAGTACGTGAGACAAAATCGTCTTACCTGCGGAGTGGCGAGCACAAGAGACAGCAGCCAAGTGAAAAGGACGAATCGCGAGCACCTCTGAGACGTGTTCAGACCCTTCATGGGATATCGCACAGCGACAAATCGATCGACGCCGATCAGCACGAGGACGAAAGTACTAAGGTACAGGCTGAACATTTGTAGGAACTTGAAGATCTTGCACGCGACATTGCCCCACAGCCACTCGACGTAGTAGCTCCAGATCGCCTCGCCGGCGAGGCAGAAGATGGTGACCAGCAGATCGGCCACCGACAGATGAAGGATCAGGGTGTAGATCGCCGAGCAGCCACGCTGCCACCGGCGATTCTTCGTGATTGAGTATATCGTCGCCACGTTGCCGACCAGGCTTAGAACCGACATAACTGTCAACACAATGACTTTGAGGTATATCGCCCTGGTCAGCTTGGGCGCGTGTTCCAGACACGTAACGTTCTTGCTGTCCCATAGGTACCCGGTCGATCGTTCGGCGAGCACATCGGGGCCGATGAAATCGGTGAGGTTCTCGCAGGGGACCGGGAAGACAAGGGAGAAACTGGCGATGCTTGACGAGTTGCTGCTGCTGCTGCTGCTGATTGTCGATGTCTTCATCGTTCTCGGCATCGGCGTCGGCCGCACCTCGTTTTCCGGCGATGCTTCCGGTTCATCGGAGATACGATGTCGACGGTCGAACACGTGCCACCGTTCTCCAGTGGAATCGCACGATCATCTTAAAAGGTAAGATGCATGTTCCGTGGGGGCATCCAAAGTGGGAAGGATGATCTCAGGTTCTCTCACTTTTTTTTTCGCGGTTCCCTGTTCGCCCGATTCTCGGTCTCATGCGATTGATCGCTTTATATTTATCGTTCACGCGACGGACGTGGGGAATGTGTACGAGTCAATTTCTGCCTTGCGCGAAAAGGGTGGCTGCATCGGTCTAATGGAGACTCAACTAACTCAAACAACTAGAGGAAGATGCCCGAAGACATTTCGGAAGTGTATTGAACAACAAACACTGCAATGCACTAACTCAAACGTTCCGTGTAAAAGATGTGAGAATTTTCGTACTTGGATAATTGTTATATTTGACGTTCGGATATTCTAACTTTTGGGATATTCGAAGAATTACCTGTCAGTCACAATGAGAATTAGTTAATTGGAGAATTTTAATTCTGTTTATTTTCGAACAAATTTCTATATGTCTCTCTTACCAACATTATAAACAACAGTTCCAATTTAATTTTATTAAATTAAATCGCATTTTTATCAATTTTTGTTTACTTTACTTCCATTTCCTTGTACATAATAATAACTGCATCAATTCTTTAACTCGAGAGAATAATTACAGAGGTTTATAATTATTGATTGAATTATTTTGCGTCTGACTCATGATAGACTAAAATAATTTTAACAATGCCGATAAGAAATTGAGAGAGAATTTAATTACAGAATATAAATTTAGTATTTTTTAAAATATATAATTATTAATTTTTAGAAATTATGTTTATAAATTTACTAAAAAATAATAATCTTGCAAGTAAATTGTATAAATTATTTAGATTACGTAAAATTAAGTTGTACAAATTAATTATAGTTTGGTAAAAAATAAGTTAACGTTTTTATTTTATTTTGTTAACAAGCAAGAGTAATTTACAGTAATTTGATTGATCTTAGATTATGCATGAGTTTTTTTTACAGCAATGTGTGAACTGGTTTTGAAAGAAAAACCAGACCTTGAGTATTCTTACGTGTCTATCGTTGTTCGTGAGAAACCTTAACCAAAATGATTAGTCAATTAACTGAGCGCAATATTTTTTTTATCCATACGAGTATAATTTTCAGAAAATTCTGTAGGAAAATAACATGTATCTGCTTATCTCTGTTTTTATCTTTATTTAAACGCGTGTCAGCATATTATGAAATAAAAATGTAGAGCAGTTAAAGACGTAGTTTTTAAATTAATGACATAGTTTTACTTTTGTAAATGTTGTCACTAACAATATCGAACATACATAGAGTTTGATTGTTTTAAATAATTATTGTCGTCGTGTTTTTTCAATTAAACACAGCTATTATTTCTCTCTCAGCACATTTATTACTAATAATAATTTTTTTAAGAGAGACACATATTTTATTGGTAAAAATTATGCCGCGTAAAATAAGTTTATTGCACAAAAATCATATAATAAAGTTTTTTTCTTTAAACACACAGTTTAGACACAGTTCTGTTGATTAATAAAGCGCACTATTCTTTATTTGCACTTTGCAGATTTTTTGAAAGATGCGCACTTGAAAATGATCTCCCGGCATTTAATTAACTAATCGTTTATCTAAAGTTAATCCTCTGAAAGATTCTTCTTTGTCTTTACGTCGTAATGAATCGTCTTCAAGAAATTATTTGAATCGCGTGCATGCACGATAATGTTGTTATAAGTGATGCACTTTCTCCCATTCCATCTTACTTTCGTTTAAATTATTTAGCACTTTTGAAAGTTTAACGTAAGTATTTTATTAATATAAACTTGGCACGCTAAGTGAGAGAAATGGCTTCGCGTGTTTTGTAAAAATAGACGAACGCAATTTTGCTCCGACGTCGAGTTTCTGCGGAATTACACGTTGCTTTACCGCGCACGCAAACGCAGCAACAACTCATTCGCACTGCTGCGTAAACTCGACTGATCGATGGAAAATTAGTGCGATACTATCTCGCTCGCTTCTCACCGCAACAATCTTCCCTCGTCACCTTGATCTTTTCATCCGCGTGCGTATGTGTATTTCATTGAGCGTTCGACTGCATTGATTGCGATAAATTGGAGACTTACCGGCAAATTCATCCTTGTAAATTACTACGTGTAAAAAGCGTTGCATATTAATTTGTCGATTTAAACAAGGTCGCTTTAAACAAGGATTTACTATTGTAAAATCGCTAATACGATATCACAAGAGCGTGAGTTCGATCCAACGCTGTAGGTTGGCTTGAATGTAGACACACGGACATATATATTTCAGACTTTCAGATAGTAAGAGCCGGTCGATCAGATCGCTGGATTTCGATGCAGCAACAGAATTGATAAGTCCTATTGAAGTATCTTCCGGAATTACATACCTAATTGTCCAAAATAAAAAATTGGAATAATGTATTAGATTCAACAGAGATTTTAGAGTATATTTCTTTCATTATTCTCTGTTGAGCACATTAATTACATTTATGCTTACAAGTAACAGACTAGGCAGTTAAAGAAAGACATTTCAAGCATTAGAAGAAAAAGTTAATGAGAGATATTTGTTTTTCTTTTTACGTTCAAACTTCTTGTTCTAATGGGTAACGCAGGTTAAATATGCATTCTAAAGATGGGTTATTATACGCGGTTAGGTCTTTTTCTCGTGCTGATATCCTCTCTACCACGAAAGTTTCAAAAGTGCAAGACGGTTTATATAATTCAGAAAGAAGGAACATTAAGGCTTTTTTATCTTTATAGGAATTTTTTCTTTTATCACTGTCACGAGAGCATAGTATTTTTAAAATTCTATTTCTTACTTGAAGTAATATTCTGATTTAAACGTGTAAAGTAGTGGCTGTTATATGTTGGGAAACATTCTATTTTTAAATTGCATGCGATAAAATTATTGTGTGCAATCTACGACAAAGAAATTAAATTTCATAATAGGTGCATGTGTGCGCATCTTATGAACTTATATATACGCAATATATAGGAAATAATAGTACGTTATACTCACATCCTTTTTTTTACTTTTCTCCGACTCATTTAGACAATGCTCCAATAATAGGATAACTAGCACGTACAGAAACGATTCAGCTTTTTCTGTCTCTCTGGCGTAATTGGAATACACAATCAGTGTAATCATACGGAATACAATAGCGGATATCCAGTTAATAGCAGACATTCTCAGCGAGAAGAGAGTATAGTCCCGACGAGTATTCCAAAATGATTTAATTTAAATAAATAGTTGATTTTTAGTTTCACAATACTTCCAATATACAATCTTTATATGAAATTCTAAGTTTTCCAAAATTTACTTTTCTCTTTAGATCTATATTATAGATTTAAGATCTGCGTTTTATTGATAAAATATTTACAATAAGACGTTATTAGGGGAGACCGGGGCTCGTTGGCACTGTTTTCACAATTTCGCCATTTGAGTTTTTAAACAACTAATTATCATGATTAAACAGTACTAATATAACAGAGATAACCTTTCTCTACATTTTCATGCCAGGAACGCTCCTGTATACTGTATAGTTTCTTTGTAATAAGTAAAATACGAACATGCAGTTGGCTATGCGACAAAAGTTCATGTTAAATTAATGAAAACATAATAGAAACACAAAACGGATAACATTGCAGATATGTATGTACAAAAGGCGTCATTAATGCCTTCCTAGCTGTGTTCTTGGGATTTCTATAGTGCACGTTACATGTACTATGCTTCAGGTGGAAGGCATTAATGACGCCTACTGTACTTCTTGATAAAGATTGTATCAGTTATTTTGTAATAATCGAATAACAAAATGCTGTTGCAGAAAAACAATTGTAAGCTATTTTAGATGTAGCTTTTTTCAACATAAAAATATTAATAGAAATATATATCTAGCTTCTCTATCAGCATTGTACGTAACAAATCACATACACAGGTTTCACGCGCGCGGCAACAAGTCAAGCCAAGCGTGTCTTGATATGATCCAACATACTTTATATACGTTTGATTTCAGTCATTTTATTACAATAAATTACTGTTGTTCTTTAAAATAACTAAATAACATGTCGTATAGTAACAGAAACGTTTCTTTTAACTATAAATGATACGTCACTTTGATTTACTTCTCAAGCTGAAGAACATTAATACGATATTTTGAAACGCTCGAAAATTTACTTGCTACCTCTTGAATTAGACTTTTCTCTTTTTCTATTGTAATACTTGTTTGATTTAAATAAAACTTTGGGAAAAGTATACCTATGTTATAAAATAGATATTTTGTGATAACTTTTCCATTGTTTTTTTGCTATAAATACATAAACGAAACGCATTGCCAACTTGCCTCTTGTGCCAACAAGCCCCGGTCTCCCCTATCGTTTCTCACTGAATATTTGATTATCCATTACAATATCATCTAAAAAACATACCGAAGTATATTACCTCTGTGTCTGTTCGCACTGATATGAATGACATATGACCTTTAATTCCAGTATCGGTAGTCCGAATTTCACAAACGTGAAATACCGGCGGAACGCAAACATTGAATCTTAACGTTAAAAAATAACATTCCCAGTTACATTTCGAAGCTTTCGCTGCTTTAAAAACAGACCTTAGATGATATAAAGCATAGGAAGACAGCAGCACTATTAAAATAGCTGCTTTAAGAAAAATATGAGAACTAGCAGCTCAGAAGGATCAAGAAAACGGAATAAAAGATGCAGAGAGTCTGTAAAAGTTTTAATTTTTATTTTGTTAGGTTCGTGAGATATTCTGTAAGAAATAAACTTTTCCTATAAAGTAAACAGAAAATGTGCCAATATTAGGTGGTACACACATGCTAACACGGTGACATTTCTTGAAATCCGTAAACCAAACATCAAAATAAATTTGCTTAATTTCTCTCTCTGTCTTTTATATATTACCTAATACAATTCATTACACCTTGAGCTACCTTGAAACTTGAAATCCATCAATGTCAGCTTATGAAATATAATCTTTTCTTCGTAATGTAATTTTTTTTTTAATAAAGAAAATATCAAGAGAGATAAATTAGCATATTTATATTATATAGGTTCTCGTTCATTTCTATCCATGATCTTTCATGTGAACATGTACAACTCTTGGTTAATATTTTTTAATATTTGCGTTACTTTGTGCATTGTACATACGAAACTAAGTTTTCTCTCAAACAAAACAAGAGCGTTGGTACAAAAAATGTCAGTATATGTTGCAGGGAATAAGTTAGAAACTTATAAGAAGTTAGAATTTTTTTCTTGCAAAGAGTTTGTTACTTTTTACATTTTTATTCTTTTTCTTGGTGGTGGAGATGATTAAATAGTCAATCAGAGAAAAATGAGATAAATAAGTCAGTAAATCGTAGACTTAATAAAATAGTTACGAATTAATGTTATTCTATAGAAAATTATGTACAATTTAAATTATATAATTTATATTAGCTTTCGTTGTAACTTAATCTTTTTGTAATTAATTGATATGACATCTTTGATGATTAATATTGTTTATTGTAAATATTGAGAGACATTGTATTCCAAGGTGTTTCGTATTCTCTGTTGTAAAGCAGGGATAACTAATATTATTTGCAGCGAAAGCTATAATTTTGTTAAAGTTTTACTACTATTGCTAAGTTATAGTTCTTGCTGAAAAAAGTATAACTTTCGTTGTAAAAAATGTTAGTTACCCCTATTTTACAACTAAATTTGCTGTAGAACCAATCCTTTTTTCCGCGTATCTACTTGATTGTTATCATAATGGTCATAATTTATTTAATATACAAATTATAATTATATTAATTATAACTAGATATTCTGTATTACTGTTAAGGTGCAGTAATAATCGTTTTGCGTCTTATTTCTAATATTTCTGTTTCGCAACAATCAACATGTAATGTAATCGGATGTGTTGGAGCCGATTTTTGGCCCGTTTCGAAGCTCTCCATCCGTTACCACAATACATAAAACTTCGAGGACGTGAACTGAATCCCGCAGTGACGTTATTATTCGCCGACGTCATTATGCAGCGTCTGGTGCCTCCCTCAAGGATACCGATAGTGATACCGATAGTGATCGAGAAGAAGCGATAAATCAGGATTTTCGCAAAGCTTTCCTGCCCTGCGACCGTCGTATGTGATTCTCCGCGGCTCTCATTCGCGGCACAGTTCGATCTTCCGAGTTTCTTCGCGTGAAAGAAACGCGGAAAGAAACAATCACTTATACGTCGTAACTTCAACAAATATTATCATAATGAAGAAAATACAGAGTACAAGTATAAAATGAGAATGCATTCTCAATTTAGAATTCAGGTCAATAGCGGCAATCAATCGAATAGTAAAAGAGAGATGCATTTTATAGAGCATAGTGAATGTAAAAAGTCAAGATTTAATTAAGGCGCGTTACTGACGCGCGTTTGAGTTCTCTTTCGCAGCTTCAATAATTCTCAGCCAGGAGATAAAGTCAGGTTTTCTCGCGTTTTCTTTTTTTATAGTATCTCTTCTAGGGTTTACTGGCGAATCAGCGCGCCATTTCTACGCGAGCTGAGTAACGCCGCCGCGTCTGCCTTCCGCCTCGTATTTCGATCTCTCGCTACACAGCGGTCGACGGCGACGCGTCGCAGAGCCTCCGAGTGCTTTTATTTTACGTAACGGATTTCCCGATAAAGTATCGCTTCGACGTTCACCATTTGGCTTCGTGTAAAATGTTATCCGGCTAGTAAATGCGCCCCTCGGGACGTGTCCCCGCTCTTTTCTTACGTATCTACGTGCGATACACATGCGGAATATGCATGCATATCCCTATCGTCAGATATTAAGGAACTGTCTAAGATCTGAACATTGAATATTTCATAACTGTCTTTCGTTCGACGTTACGTAAATAGCGGAGGATTGTGGATGTATTATTAACACAAGTATAAATAACTTATACTATTT